GTGTGGGTGGGAGGGGGGAGGGGAGTGGAGAGTGGAGACGTAGCTCAAGGGGCAAGGCTTGATTGCGACCTACTGGCTCACACCGGGGGTTGAGTTGCAAAAAGGGGGTGGGCTCCAGGGGAGGTGGGGGGAGTGGAGGGGAGGGGGGAAGGGGGGGAAAGACGAACCACGAACGAGTGAAGCTGCTGCCAGGGCAAGAGTGTACCAGGAGTAGAACTGACCAAGAGGCGTTCTTGGAGGCGGCGGGAGGGGGGGAATTGGGCGTGTGCAGGAACGGCAGCAATTGAAGAAACCGGGTTCAGGTGGTTTGCGGTGCAGGCGCTTCGCCCAACGGACAGACAGACAGGCAAGCAAACAGACGGCGGTCGGACTTTTTGGCCGACAGATTTGACAGATAGGATGGAAGACATACAGACAAGCGGGCAACTAGGAAAACATGAAGGTCGCCCCTTTCGAATACCGTACTGTTGTCCTGAGCGACGACTGGTCCTGCCTACAACAATCCGTGTGCAACCCAATACCATGTGCGGCGGTACGGCAGGGTGACGAGCCGGTTGTTTGGCGGGGCCCGATGGTTAACAACGCTTTCGACAAGATGTTGTTTGGCACTGCGTGGGGTCCACTGGACGTCCTGGTGGTGGACATGCCGCCAGGTGAGCGGGTATGAGGGTCTGGAGATGGGGGGGAGGGGGGTCGGAAGGCAACCGAACGACAACCGGAAGGCAACCGAATAATAACTGGGTGGCCGGTGTGAGTGCGTGGGAGGAAAGGGATGTGGTGTACGGCAGAGGAAAGCTGTGGAACGAGGTAGGGGGATGTCGTACGTGCTCCTCGTCCATGGATGGCCCGACAGTGTGGACTTGTGTACGTATGTATGTATGATGTATATGTACGTATGTATGTATGTATGTATGACGTTGATTACACTGTGGGCTGAAAAGCCGGGGGCCCAGGGCCGAAGCACAGCGGGGGGGGCGGGTGCATACGGCTGGTTAGTCTCATGCACTCCGCCCCCGGGTCAGGCCGCACGGGAAACGACGGCCGGCACGCAACAGCGCTTGTTTGGCGCTCCAACTAGACGGGATCTATGCCCGTTGGTCTCCTAACATAAACGAAGTCGCAACTGGGGGGCTCTTCCTGCCGACCGAACGAACCGAGCATCTCAGAGAGCTCGCAACCAGGACCTGGGCGACCGGGAGCCCGACGAGTCATCCCGGGCTGGGGAGGTCACCAAGCTCAAAAATCCTCACGCAAAAAAGAGCGCAAAGAGCTCACACCACAAGACGCCAAACAGCCTCCTGAGACTACTACCCTCCTCCGCCTCTCCCTCCCTGGGCTAGTCCAGGGGAGATAGCCCCCGTCGGGGGGGTAACACCGCACAAGTCCGCGCCCTTCCACAGCACTGGGTCTAACTTGAAAAGTACTACAACGGGAAGACCCTGCGGCAACGCCGGGCGATCAAGCCTCCGGAAACCACAGGGGGGGAATGTAGCCAGCTCGGCGCCCCCCCAATACCGCTCTACCAAGACGGCTGGTTCCCAAGATCCTATCTCACCTAGACGCCGCAACACGCGAAACCCGGTCTCGTACCCTGAAGAAACTAGTCCTGCACCACGCGCGCACCTTCGAGTACGGCCCCCCCTTCTGGGTGCCCACCTCCCCCTCATCCGCGCCCTCGCTACGGCCACCTGTTTCCACTCACCACCCCTCAACCCTACATCCTCTTGGTGTACTCTCTACCTCTTCCCCTCCCCCCCCGGCTCTCCCCGCCCTTTCCCCGGTCTCCCCCCCCTCCGCCGGTACGGCTCCCCCAGGCAAATAAACCCTCCCTCCCCCATGTCCCCTTGCGCGGCACCCCCCCAAGCCCCATCCCTGATCCCGTATGTATGTATGTATGTATGTATGTATGTATGTATGTATGTATGTATGTATGTATGTATGTATGTGTGTTTCCTTGTTGTATCTCCTTCCGGGCTGCGGCCGGCATCCCCGTGTCCGGAGCTTGGGGGAGTGGCAGTCAGCTGCATATCTTTCTTACCTTCAGCACACATACATACTAGATGCATACATACATGCATACATACAACTGTCTCCCGCCATAATCGGTTCTTCCCGTCCCCTTCCTCCACCTTTCCCCCCCCTTGAGGTACCGGTGACGCCCAGATCAACCTGGGCCAGCGAATTCCCATGTCAGGTGCGGCTCTGGTGTCCACACCCCAAGACGTGGCGCTGGTGGATGTGCGCAGGTGGGCGGAGGGGCGGACGGGGCGGAGGGGGCGGAGGGAGGGAGGGAGAGTGGCTTTAGGGAAAGGGCCAGCCAGGCAGGACAGTGGTCGATTTCACCTTAACCTGTACCTGTACCTATTTAATTGCTCGGTTTATTTTGCTGTTAAGCAGAGATGCAACTACCAGCACACACCCAGGTGGCCCCCTGCTGCGCACACCCACACCGTACGGCATACACCGCCTCCACAGCAGCACCGCAAACTTCACGACCACCACGACCACCGCCCCCCTGACCTTGTACGCCGTACCACATCGCCGTACCACATCGCCGTATCATATCGTCATTAGCAGAAATCACTGCCCTGGCACACACATACACACACACACACACTCACTAATGTACACACGTGCAATTTTCGAACACGCACACACACTCCCACACAAACACACGCCCCTACGTACATACGCACGCGCACGGCCGTAGGGGTGCACAGATGTTCCTGAAGCTGCGTGTTCCGTTGTTGGGCATGATTGAGAACATGAGCCACCACACGTGTTCCAAGTGCGGCCACGTGGAGCGCATCTTTGGAGCCGGGGGAGTGGAGCGAGCTGCACGGGACTATGGAGTGGAGGTGCTGGGGCAGGTGAGCACGCCCGCGCGCGCGTGTGTGTGTGTATGTGTGTATGTCTATGTGTGTGTGTCGTTACATATCGATCCTGGCCTGACGCTGGCCAGGGGCACGTAACCGTATAACCCAACGGGAACGACCGCCGAAGCACTCCGTCATTAAAGGGGCGTTATATGGGTTGTGTGTGTATTCCAATGGGCTGAGCCACGAGATCAGGAAGTGGCGAGGTGTGCGCACTGGGTAACCCTAGGGTAGAAGTGGTAGAAACATTCCCAGCTAGGTATTGGTATTGGCTATGCATGCGTGTGTTTGGTCGATGGCATGGTGATGGGTGAGTGTGTACATGTATGTATGTATGTATATATGTATGTATGTATTCCGACACCCTTGTCGCTTAGGTCCGAGCTCTCTTCCTCACCATATGGGATAACAACAGCCGTTGTCGGTTTCCTCGCACATCTCCCTCCCTCCCGTGCCCCACCCACCCACCCGTCGCATCGGGGCTCCCGGCCCTAACACGTTATATGCTTCCCAGCGCTTCCTTCGCCCGCCCCCGCCCCCTACACCGTGTGCTTCTCTCTCCCCCCCCAACACATGTCCACCTGCGTATCTGCCACTTTCCCCCTTCCCTCTCCCACCCAAATCCCTCCCCCTTACGCTTCCCCCCCCCGCTCGCCCCGGGGCCCCAGGTCCCCCTCCACGTGGAGATTCAAACCAAATCAGATGCGGGTACCCCAGTGGTGGCGAGTGACCCACGGGGCGATCTGGCGTCGTCGTACATACACATTGCGGAGCGGCTGCACGCGGGCCTGCAGCAGCTGGCAGCGAGGCAACCCGGGTCGCCCAAGATCACTGTGGAGCCCTAGGCGGCTGCTGGGCTGGGGGATAGGCGTGGGGATGGGGGCATCTGAAGAGTCAGCGCAGCGCGGCATATCCTCAGGAATACCGGCGCCTGCACGCTGCTGTAGTTGTATGGTGTACGGTGGTTTTAGGCACATACGATTTTAAGGCGCTGGCCTTGGTGCTACTGCGTTCGCTGTTAGTTCGGTGCAGAGTAACTCTGTTCAATCCTCAATTCAAATATGTCATGGCGGGCAGCGCCAGCAATAGCAGCCAAGAGCGGTGCATGGCAGGGTATAGTACAGCGTAGAACTGCATACCCGTCATCGAGCTGGGGAGAGCTGGGATCTAAGCTCCCGCGGGGTGCCTTTCAACACCTCCGTGGAGTGGTCACGACTGTCCCAGTGACCGACCTTATACCGCGCTGTAGATTAGGAATTCCTGTTAATGGAGATCCTGAGTATAGGGGAGGGCGCATCGGGATGGATGGATGGACTGTTTGACTGCGCTGCAACAAGTCACTGGGCAGTTGGGGAGCTGCAAGTAGCGCCGAAGTGGTTGCGCTGGGGAGCTTCAGGTTAGGTCATCGGATCCCCATCCACCACCTTTTTACACACAGGAAAAAGTACAGCCCTTGCCGCCCCATGTACGGCTGTAAGTGCGCATGCGACGGCACGCAAGTTACGCGAGTCACCAAACTTTGCAGGAATCCGTTCCAAAACGAAAACAGGCAATGCAAACCGCAAATACAACAGAAGAGCGTGCTGCGTGCATTTACGGGTACGTCCGGAACGCCATATCCTACAAGCCACAACGGACGGATTGATCAACGGCCTGTCAAACCAAATTGAATTTGAAAGCAAAAGGACGGGACTCGTCTCGCGGGGGCCTCCCTTGCGCTCCCTAAGCTTTCTTCAATTTGTCGGTTACGCTTGCATTATAATACTTAGGGGCATCATTATAGTTATATTAAAAAGATGAACACGCTGGCCAATGTACAGCGAATTCATAGTCACGGTTATAGCCAGGTTATAGTCATCCCCTAAAAATGCGCGCAGCAAACGCAAGGGGGCTGGGTTGGCCGAGATCGGACTTCCATGACGGTGTACGGGCTCCCCACCTTTTCCATCTTTGGTTGCACCCACCACCATTATCATCATCTGGATAACGAAGTAATTGCAAAGGCCAGGGAGCCGCTGATGTCAGACAAGTCCAGGACCCGAATACGCTGTCGGATTGTGCTCTCAGGAAATTGTCAGCCGCCGCCGTTGCCTAAGCGTCCATGCATAACAAACACATTTCATCATCCTCCCCAGGACAACCACCATCATCGCAGGCCCTGCTTTGGTGTAGCATACCGCACACATCTCGGTCAGGACAACACCCCCTTATGTGTATCGGCGTCCCGGGCACCGGGCGGGTATTTTTCATCTTAACCCTTTTCCCTTTCGATGGGAAGCGCAAATCGCTCGTGGCAACTCCGTTCCACCCTGGGGGTAAACAACTTGTCGGGGTTCCTGTTCGCGTTCCAATCTTGCCAGTGTTCACTAGTCGGTTTCCCAGTTCCGTAATCCCTCACGCCCGGAGCTGTTTCGCACTGGGCCACCCTCTGCCCGAGCTCGTGGCCGTGGCCCTGCCTGGATGCCTGGATTGAGCCCTGCCAAGCTCCTCACCACCCCGCCCGTTTACTGCTCCCCATCGCCCTCCTTTTCCCACCTCTACCCCTCCAGCTTCTGCACCACATGGCGTGCCTGCCGCCTCCCAAACTCCCCCTTCATCTTTCCTAAAGCCGCAGGTGCAACGCCCACGCAACCCCCGCCCCGCACAAGGGCACCACCTATCGTCCGTGACCCACCTGTGGACACCAGAGAAAGCGCTGCTGCATGTGACCCACGGGTCATTGTACCGCCATCCGCACCTCAAACGCCGCATAGAGCGTCTTCCTCTTCTTACTCCTACTAGCCTTCCCTGGTTCTCCTTGTCCAACAAAATCAACTACCCTTTTCCGAGTGGAGAAACAACTACTTTTTGTTAAGCAGTGCCTTAGCTTGAGCCTGCTGCTGCAACAGTGCGTCACTGGTGTACTTAGCAAGCAGGTCGTTGCGCTTCATCTCCAGAATCTTGGCTTCGATAGCCTGCTGGTCGGGCAGGGGAACATACGCGATGAAGCGGGAGCCCTCGTCGCCTTCGCCCCCAGCGGCGGCTGAACCGCCTCCCGCGCGTGTCCCCACAGAGGATAGCGCTTGCTGCCGCTCCATCTCCTTCTCCTCCCATTCAAGGACGGCCTGAAGAAAAATAAGATCGCGGGAAGAGCGAATGGAGTAGATAGGTAGCTGGGTGGGTCCAATGGGCGAGGTGAAGGGGGCAAAAGAACTGAGAACGCCCAACAGCGATGCGTTTCGCTGGCCGCACCTCCGAGGATGCCTTGTCTCTGCCCTCACTCCCCTTATCCTTCGTTACCCCCCTTCCCAGGTAATCCCCCACCGCAACGCTTACGTCTTTCCCTCTAAACCCCACCACCCAGTGGGGCCCCTTAGCTCCCACTGACCTGCATGCGTATGACCTTCTCCGCCTCCGCCTCCACGCGCTCCAGCACCCCGTCCTCCTCGTCCCGGAAGCCGTAGTAGTCCGGGTCAATGGAGCGATACATCTGGTGCCGGGACCTCCGTGCTAGCTTGACGGGTTCAGCCTCGAACAGCTCCTTCACACCGGGCAGCTTCTTGGCGGCGCCGAAGTACGTGTAACCTCGACCCTTGCCTGCGCATCCGCATCCGCATCCGCATCAGCATTTAGCTAGCAGAGATGGTCGCCAGGCGCCGGCATTGTTAGGTGAGGTCGCGTGAAGCTGTTCAATGACCTTGAGGCAGCCCGCGAGGACAAGTTTCAGGTCAGCCCGCAGATGGGTTGGTCCTCGCGACCAAGCAGTCAGCAGTCAGCGAACGGAAGGAAGTACCGAGGTTATGACGACGAGCTGAGCTGTCATGACCTGTGCTTGGCTAGGATTCATAATGAAGGGAGTTGCGGCAGCGTCCGTGTGGCAGTTCCGGTCGCCAACCCCCCTGGTTCATCGTTGCCGTCGGGTCCTCCCCCCCTCCCTTGCCGTACTCGAGGAATAGGCGTAGCAGTACTTCAAGCTTAACCGGTCAGGACCCGTAACGTCGTCTGCTTCTGCTAAATCGAGGCCCCCGGCCGCTGCCCAGTGCCATCCGCGTGTCGAATTCCTAACAGACTTGACAAAAATAGAGCCCACCTGTGAGCTCCGCAACCTCTCTCCCTTTGCTGTCTGTGACCTTCCCCGTCGCTCGCGAGTAGTCGGGCCCGCCCAACTCCTTGATACGCCGTTCCCAATGGCCCTTCTCGCGAATGAGCTTGTTGATTTCATCGTTCAAGTCCCGGATGCTGCGGCATAAAAGGGAAATAGGGGGATCCCATGCAACCGAGGAGTGGTGAAGGAGGGATGCGGTACGGAGGGTTGGAAAGTACGTCGAGCGGGGAAACACCTGCCACTGTCCCTTACTCAAAGGCTATGCACTTGTATGGATGGTGTGCCCAAACCCGCCAGCTATTGCCAGTGCAATTTGGCTGCAGCTTGAGGCTCTAAAGGCCCAGAACTTCGGTACATCCCTCGTGGCGTATCTTCATTCCAAGGGTATCTCCATTCCAAGCTCACCGGTGCTCGCCCAGCCCTTCATTCTGAATTTCCATGACCTTTTTGCCGATTTCCCGAATGATTTGAGAGCGCCATTTGTCTGCCTCGACCAAGTCGCGACACTCCGATGCTAGGTATGGACGCTTCTGCTTTGGACCCCGCTTCTCCTCTAGCTTTCCCGCTAAATAGCGGTTAAGCATCGATTGGGCCTTCTCCTCATTGCGCGCCATGGCTGCCCGAGTGCACTCAGCAGGTGATGTCTGCTTTGCGAGCTAGATCACAGAAGAGAGCGGCGGGGCTCAAAAGCCCCGCGCCACTACAGCACAGATCGGCAAAAGTCTGTGGTACAGGGGAAAAAAAGGAACTACAGCAGACCACCGCCGCAGATAGACTGTCTGCAACAACCAATTTTGCGTAGTGTAGCTGAGTTTATACGAGGGTATACCTACTAAGTGAATATCGTAACTATGTCGCGTTCAAAGAGAAAGACTGCGAAACATTGTGGTGTACTGCATAACCCATTCCGACAGAGGTTCTGCGTTCCGTCTCAAATAATCTTTTCTTTGCATTTGCATAAAGCTTTGGTGCTTTTCCCTTGTCGTGTCGTTTGTCAGGACAATCCAGCTGCACGAGATAAGCAATTTGCATGTAGTTGAGGAGTCTGAATGGCCACACGCGCCAGCTTAGCAAGGGGCACTGCGCCAAAGGAGGTCTTTGAGGGTCGGGTGCACAAATGGGAGCGGCGATGGCTGGTTCACAAAAAAGGAACGATTAAGACTGAGGTGATGCTGGAACTGCTGCGCTGGATTGTTACTGGTAAGCCTTACACTAAATGGGCGTCACACGGCTGCCGGAGATACCATGGCATAGTCCACGGGTCGGCAAAAGCTGGGTGACAGCTGGAACCCCCTGTCCGTCACAGATGAGCGCTGTCCCGAGCTCACCGGGCCCCGCCATCCACATATTAAGCCGGTAAAGCCCTGTCCGCATTCCTTTCGACGCACATGCGCGTAAACCTATCCCATTTACAAGGCCCTCTCCCCACTCCCTCCGCTTTACATGGCTAACCTGTATCATTACATGCCAGTTGAAACGTCCTATCATAAAGCAACCTTCAAAGAAACCTGCGGAGCAAGCTGGCGAGCAGGCAGGCGAGCAGCAGGGCGCCGGGCAGCCTGCGGAGCAGGATGCAGAGCAAGGAGGGGAACCGGCCACAGCTGCCGCCACAGAGGCCCCTAAGCAGGCAGCTGCCATAGATACGGATAAGAACCCTCAAGAGCAACCTGCTGGGGCAGCTGGCGGTCAGACCGCCATCGCTTTTGGCGGGGTGCTACAGCAGCCGCAGCAGCCGCAGGTAAGGGGTGCTGTGGTTGCTGCGTTATTGGACCTCAGTTGCCAAGTACTTCTCCTGCGGACGAGAAACAAGGAGAATCAGGAGAATCTGGGACTGATAGCGCGGGGCTCAGAGCAGAGAAAGTACGCGGGAGGAAGGAACGGATGAACAGAGAGGGGCATATGGAAGTTAAGGTAGCCACCGGTCGTGGCATGAGTAACCAGCATAAAAACCTCCTTTGCGGTATGAGCAATAAGCGTGTGCCCCTGAACCATGGGTGCGCGTCTGGGAATGTGACACACCACACTCCACGCCACGTCCTCAAGGCTCCTGCCACAGTACGCATCTCCGCAAATGCCGGGCATCACCTGTGCTCCCATATCCTCCTGTTCATGCGCAGGAGGGTGTCGCTGGCAGCAGAGCCGCGTTCGCAGACAACAGCGCTCCTCAAGGCGCTGGGGTCGCGATTCTGACACCCCAGCAGGAGCCCAACAGCGCGGCCGATGCGGGGCTTGATCCACTGGTCACCGGGGCTGCTGAGCCCACGAAGGTTTTCCACGTAGCATTCCAATCGATTGGCGACCCAACCGAAGGCGTGCCCCCGGGGCGCGATGGGCCACCTGCGCCCGGCGATGGGCAGCCGGCTGCGGCGCAAGACATCGAAATGGCGGACGCAGTGGGGCCACCTTAGCAGCGCGAGCCAGAACTGTGCGTGGTAGCCGGGAGCTTGCCGTGGCTACGGTACCCTTGCATGAAGACTCGGGGAAAGGTGCTTGGTTTCGACGTAATATAGATGCCGGATGCCCCGGGCGACATTTTTGTCAATGAGGCCACGCCGGCCAGGCTTTTCAGGGCGAGTTGCATGTGCAACTGGATGCTTTTAGCAAAAATGACGAGTCCGCCAGTGTGTACGGCAGCGTCGTGCTGGCAACCGTACGACAAAAACAGCGAGTAGCCTGTGAACCTCTAAGTGGATAATGATAGACGGCCAGTGAGTGTGAGGGAAGGGGGCCATGAAGGGTCAGGCCTTTTATGGCTCTTGTTGTATGACTGTCGTAGTTCCTTGTTGCCCTGGCTTCCTTCCTTCGCGGGTCGCCGGCAGTGCCTGTTAGAACGGGCCTTTATGCATGTGCAGTGGATGGAGGAGAGGAATGGGGAGAGTAAGAGGAGCGGTTACCATGGTGGGTGCAACTCCACCAGCATGGGCTGAGGCTGCGCAATTTGGCGGAGGCTGCCGATTTTGACGACCCGCCGCCATTTTGGTTTGGGTAGCGGTCCTCGATTCGGAGGTATTGTACTATAGGCGAGGATGTGTTTTAGCCTGAAGCCATGCAAACCCCTAGACACAGCAGTGCGCAATGCTGATCCCCATGTTTCGCGAGCAGAAAGCAACATAACTACCGCAAAGCGTCAGCTCGAGGTTTACACACACGCATTTGTCGTTACGGACTCCATGGACTAGGATGTGTTGCAGGGAAAGGGCCTCGCGGCTCGGGGGTGTTCGCGTTGACAAGGGCAAAGGGAGGTAGCAGGGGCGAGAGCGAGTTGCGGGACCCGAATGGGGCATCAAAAGGTGTAATTAAATCGTGTGGTCCCAAAGCATAATCATATTATTTATATGTCTATATGGGGAGACACATCCATGAAAGTTGCTTATCTGCATGCGTTCATCGAGGGATACCTTCCCGCGTCGTGCGGCGACCGTTCGATCTTCTGCCCATAAATTGCAGCCGAACGCCATATCCTACTTATACGTAGTTGAACTGAAGGATCCTTAGTGCTGTGAAAGAATTAAGCCGCTTGGTCTTCAAGTTCAACTTCGATTGCAGATCATAGCCCTCCTACATTTTGTGTACGCAAGATGAGCTGGGACGAATACATCACAAGCAATCTTATGGCTCCTGTTGATGCTAATGGGTCAACACTGAGCAGCGCTGCCATTTTGGGACTGGATGGCTCTGTCTGGGCGAAATCTAGTGGGTTCCCAGCTTTCACGCCTGAAGAGTTCGAGAAAGTGATGGCAGCTATGGCTGATCCAGCTATAACAGCTGCTTTTTTCTCGGGCGCCAAGTACATGAAGGTGACGTCTGACGAGACTGTTCTGCGCTGCCGCAAAGACAAGATTGGGTTCATCGCCCGCAAGACCAACACGGCCATTGTGATGGGCTTCTATGAGGATCCTCCAGTCAGCGGGCAGATGTGCAACCGGGTTGTGGAAGCTCTAGGCGACTACCTTGAGCACCAGGGCTACTAAGGTCCCCGTTGGGCCTGCCGCCAGTTTGGTTGCAACCAAGCTCGCGACAGATTCTTTACAAGCGTTTTGGTGTGATGTGTGGCAACTTCTGCGCTGTCTTGTGTTCCGAAAAGGCAAAGTATGTGCAGGAATTTCGTTGCCGCGCAGGGATGCAAGCCGACGTTTTGCAGTGTCTAGGGGCGCATAGGTCAATGAATGAGGAGATGGCTACTGCTGCTGCGGCTTTTTTGATTTGAAGTGCTGATGTGCGGCACGCTATGCTGGCACAGCAGGATTGGCTGTGGGGGTTGCGCGGGAGTCGTCAGTCACGGTTAGGTGGCACAGAGACCATGTGCACGTTTCCATGGTTGGCCTGCGTTTGAACTAGGTCTTAAGAGTTCTGGTACGTGTATGTCCTTGTACAGTCCTCAGCATGAGGGGTATGGCCGGGGCTGCAACTGGACGGTTAGTTGAGACCAACGGGATTCGCGAGACCTTAAAGCGAGGTCAGTCCAGGGCAATACCTGAATGTTCAGGCGTAGTTAACCTGTAACGAGCGATATGTGACAGCATTTCATGCCGGCCGTCTTGTTGTGTTCCTGGGATGCAGGTTAAGTGTTAGACGTCCCATAGAGCTCTATATGGGTCTTATCTATCCTTATATACTCGAAATGTGATGTCTTATGCAATTAGTACCATGGCTCATCCTATTGGCAATTAAGCAAGGGAGCAGAAATGTAGTACATTCGAAGGCCATTCGGTACCTCCGCCTCTCATCAGTTTCGCGCATAACCTTTCTTAAATGAAGCTCACATAGGAAAGAAGAGCATAAACTTTACCCGGGGACCTTTAATCTTGAGCCAAAGCAACCAGGAATGGGCCACGATACCAATTATCTGAAGGAAACAGTAGGCGAGGCTCTTGCACGTGGATGTGCAGCAGCTATTGGTGCGCAGCCAAACGACCCTGTGGAATATCTGGGTCTATGGCTATTGAAGTAAGCATGCGCAACCCGCTCTGGCATTATCCATAAAGTGCGGTGTCGCCACTGGTCATCTAATGGTGCTGTGCAGGTATGTTAAAAATGCAGAGGTGGAAGGCAACTTCTACAAGGAACGACAGCAGGAGCTGCAGCACAAGAAAGACCGGCTGGTGAGACGGCAAACCCAAACGCCATGGCATGTGTATAATGTTAAATTAAATCCTGATGGGCTTGAAAGAGCATCAATCTTTGTCAGTAGGACGGCCTGAGACCGCGGCCCTTTTCAAACCCGTCGCCGTCACCAAACGCAACCCTCAAGCTTTGGCTCTCTTGCCTCGCGCTTTTTGCACGTCGCTATCGCGCGGTATGCTCTCCAGTGCCACCCATATACGCTTCCCTCTTACTCACCGAAGTCACTCCTTAACCCGCTTATCCTCCATGCGCCGCGGCATGCACATTCATCCCCGCAATTATACCCATTCCAGCTATTGCACACTCCCTTCCCCTGACCTTCCGTCCGCCCGAAAGCCTGTCCGCCACGCCAGCTCGCGCACCTCACCGGCACACGCCCAAATATCGCCAGTGGTTTTACTCCACCTCCCTACCCGGCCCTCATCACCGTATCCTCCGTCCCTTTCCGCAGCCTTCTCCTCATTCCCCACCTTCCACCTCACTGCATCGATGTCCATGTGGCTCGCGGTTGCACACGTGCGGTGCGCACGCTTCTTCCCTCCTTACCCTCCGGCACCCATACCCCAACCGCCCTATCTGTGTGTACCGTTCCACGCCGCGTGCGGCGCCGCTCACCTATCCCACTCCGCAGATCAAGGAAGCCCAGGCGGAACAAGCGCTTAAGGCCACCGCCGCCACCCGCAAGGAGGCGGCAGAGCAGCTGGCGGCGCTGGTGGCTGTGCCGCGCGATCTCCTGCAGGCAGCCGTGAACCTTATCAAGCAGCAAACCACAGCCGGCGCCGCCTACGCCGCCATTGTCACCGACCCCGAGGAGCCCGACTGGACGCCGCCGGAGGATGACGAGGCGGCTGCGGCGGAGTCGGAGGACGAGGGTGAGGGCGCTGGAGCGGCGGAGGGTGAGGGTGAGGAGGAGGCGGCGGCGGAGGCGGAGGAGCCGGCCGACGGGGAGGGCGGCGAGGAGGGTGAGGACGGCGAGGCGCCCAAGCCCAAAATCCCGCGACCCGTGGATTACAGCAAAAAGTACTTTGCCTACGTGGCAGCCTCGTCCGGGCAGGAGCACGTGCTGGAAGCTGACGTGTACCGTCCCGCGGCCCCGGTGGAGGGAGCGGATGACAGCGAGGAAGCCAAGCCGGAGCCTGTGCCGTACACATTCCGGATCTTGGACGAAAAGCTTCCCATGGTGTACGTTGCCAACGTTGCCAACGAGGAGCGGATAAAATTCTTCCGCAAGTTTCCAAAGATCGGCTCGTACCAGGCTTGCGGCATCGCGCTCTCGCCAAATGCGGAGTTCAAGGCAGTAGTTGCAGCAGACACGCTGTTTCCAGAAGGCAGCGGCCAGCCGCTTTCGGCCGAGGACCGCGACTTTGTTTGGGAAGTCTCCCAGTCGCTGACCAAGGCGCTTGACGGCGTGGCGGCAGCGGCGACGGCAGCGCTGATGGGTAGCTCGGCGGCTGCGGCGCTAGAAGCGCTCAAGGCGAAGCTTGCGGAGCTGCGGACGCAGGCGACGTCGGAGGCTCAGGCTGCAGGTGCGGGGTTTGGGCTGGTGGGCCGGAGCGGACTGATCTGAAGGCGCCATTTTCCAGACTTAACCCCACATTGAAGAGCTCCCCGGACCCCTTAATTGGTGCGGAGGGCAGGGGCTGCGCTTTGCGGGGTGCAAAACACGAAATGGAAAGCAGCGCGCCCGTGGATGAGCGACTTTGGTAACCGCGTAATACGGCGGCGGCAGCAGGAGGGAGAGTGGCTACGGCGATGGTTGGGGGTTGTAGGGCCATGGCTTTGGGGTTAACTCTTGTGAGCTAACCCGTAGAGGGAGTGAAGCGCGGGGCTGGCTGGAACCACGAAGGTTTGGAGCGCGAAAAGGTCCTAACACGCTGGCTGGCGTGTCTGGACGCGGCACGGCGCAACGGTGTGGAGGGGGCGTCATTGGGCTGGGCTGGGCTGAGTTGCCTTGAATCACGGTGCTACGGGCTTGCTGGTCGTCGATATCAGGGGGTGTAGTAGCTGGCCGCTGAAAAGGCCTCTCGAGATGCTGGTGGTCGCGCTACGCGCGTATTTATAGAGCAATACTGTGAACCAGCTACTACAGGGGGCGTCACACTGGCGGAGATGCTAGGGGTGACGCATCGCGCAACGTGCGCCAACCCGCCTCTCCCAATCTTTCCTCCCGTCCCCCTAGCTTCCCCTTTCCATCCCCGCTTCCCGAATTGGGTCTACGCTTCCTACCCCTCCCCACATCGATTCTTCGATCCCGGCTCAATCAGCCCTCCACCCGCTTAACCGCAATTCCGCTACAGATAACCGCCCATGTTCCGTATCACACATCTTGTACATACCACAGCCCAGTCTGACCCCACCCTGACCCCACTCTGCCTTGTCTTGGCTCATCTCCCTTAACTCCTTCACCAGCGCCAACGCCGAAGGAGGGCGAGGAGGAGGAGGAGGAAGCGCCACCCCCGGAGGAGGAGCCCGCACCTGAGCCGGAGGAGGAGGAGGAGGAAGAAGAGGACGGGGAGGGCGAGGAAGGCGAGGAGGGGGCCGAGGGTGAGGAGGGTGAAGAAGGCGAGGAGCCCAAGCCCAAGAAGAAGAAGAAGGTGTTTGACCCGATTCCCGGGCTGCTGGCCGCCATCGAGAAGCTCACGGCGACCGCGGATGCCGCCAAGGAGGCGGAGGCGCATGCCAGGTCCGCTGTGGAGCTGGAGCAGCAGGCGCTGGCGGCCATTGTGCAGGTGCATGTGGGGCTGTGGGCCCGGGGACTGTGGGCCTGGGGGTTGAGGATGGAAAGAAAAGCAATGAACGAAATGCGGACATGGGGATGATTGGCGCTAGAAATCATGGAAAGACATGAGCACCGGTGTGCGGCTCGAACGGCTGGACCTCTCTGCATGTTCATATTTCCTTGACATTCCCGTCCTCTCCATCCTACCTCCCGTTTCTCCCTTCCCCTCCTCTTTTCCCTCTGTTTCCTCTTTGTTTACCTGGCTATAGGCCGCCACGGAGTCTTCGGAGGTGACTTTGTCGTCTCTCCAGCACCTGCTGACAGTGCCCCAAGCCACGTACCACGTGATAAAGGCGCTGCTGCACCTGCTGGGCCGAGACCCCGCCACGTTTGCCACCTGGAAACGCGCCTACGCGCACTTTACGCCGGCGCTGTTCGAGGACATGGCCGCCTACGATGCGGCGCAGGAACGCGACATGGCGCTGTGGGGCCGCGTGCGGTCGTGCTACAAGGCCGTGGCCAGCGCCAAGAAGTTGGAGACGGAGATGCCCAACACCATGTTTGGAGCGATGGTGCTGCTGTACATCAAGCAGGTGAGGGCGCGACAGGATGCAACAAGGCAAGCTGCGGAAAAGGAATTATTGGTCGCATTTGTCTTTTGAGTGGAATTGTAATGTAACTTAAGCTGCCCTTGCGTTCGCCTTTTTTTAACGCGGGTGAGCGTGTGACCGAAAAGGCTCCCTTGTCTCGGGTGGGTGGGTGGTTGGAAAGGCTCCCGGGTGCGGGGAATTTCGTTGGAAGTTGGGGAGGGAAGTAGGCGTGGAAGCTAGTCAGGGGAAAGGCCCTTCCAACCCTTCACCTACCTATCTGTATCTATCTATCTGTATCTATCTATCTATCTATCTATCTATCTATCTATCTATCTATATTTATCTATCTCTCCCTCTCTTCCCAGGTGCGGCGCGTGGCTCGCAAGGCGGTTCTGCACCGGCAGATGACGGCCAAGTTGGAGAAGGCCAACGCGGACCTGGACGCCAAGAAGGCAGCTCTAGCGGAGGCGGAACGGCTCAAGGTGGGGGGAGATGGCCGTTTGGCCGGACGGGCTGTTTTGGAGTTGGGTATGGATGGTATGTTATGAATGATGTATATGGAGCGGGGTTTTCGAGCGTCTAGTGGAACACTTATGGGGTGATGGACATGCCAAGAGAACAAGACGGGACAGTTGCGATGATTAGACTGATGACCGATGTCCACTGGATGGGCAGAGCTGCTGCAGGGGGACCTGGAATTGATGCAACTACTGTCGTTTTGCCGCCAATCCGTATGTGTCTATGCAGGCGGAGGCGGAGGCGGAGGCCGCCCGGCAAGCCGAGGAAGCGGCGCGGTTAGCAGAGGAGGCCGCCGCGCGGGCAGCAGCGGAGGCAGAGGCGGCGGCCGCCGCGGCTGCGGCGGAGGCGGAGGCAGAGGGAGCAGGCGAGGGCGAGGGCGAGGGGGCAGGCGAGGGAGAAGGGGGCCAGGGTGAAGAGGAGGGCGAGGCTTGAGGTCTGACTCAAGGAAGTAAGACCTGGGCGGATGCTAGAGCGTAGTGGGCCAAAGGCGCACAAATGAGTGTCAACACTTGCTGTGAATACATGTCGCATATGTTTTGCATGTTGCTGACCACCTTTAAGTCGTTCGGAAGACGCCTTTCTTATTTTAATAACGCTTCGCCAGCGGGGGTTTCTCAATTTGCTAAGGACTGGCTCATGGGGATATAGTTGTAGCTTGGTTAGGCTCGCTGGTCAGACTGCATAACCGGTATAGCGCTGCTAGTGGTGCTGCTGCGTAGCGGCACGTAATTAAGACTGGACGAACACCGCAGAGTCAGATAGGGACAACCCTTTGGTTTTCGAGGGTGAGGGGGGTGGACCATATGATAGGGTGGATTTATAATGGCATCGGCGGTTGCGGTTCAGGGGCCAAGTGTATTCATTCGACGAATAGGGTGCACTGCGTGTCGTTAATTTAACTTCTGTCAACTACGTTTGGACGCTGGAATGCGGCATTGACTTGGGCAATCAGCACGGGCGCCTGTACATTTTTGGGATACGGCCTAGCTTGCAAGACGGGTGGGCAGAGAACCAGATGGCGCACGGGAATAGGGCTGTGGCTTGGCGGCGGCACAAACGCTGCAGGAATAACATACGGATTCATGAGATGTTGCTTGGCAACTCACCATGTAACATGTGTACGATATGCTGCCTTCGCACCAAAGGTGTCGTACAGCAAATCCTCAGAAAACCTGAATCACGTCTTGGTTGGCTACCAGGCGAACGACAGTTCGGCAGCTACATTGCGTAATATACGTGAAGGCATTGGGCAGAGTCCCTTCGAAAAAGCCTGGAATGGGAATCCAGAAATTGTTTATGCGCTCAAGCTGTCTGTGTCTACATCAGCAAAGTCACATTGGAATGGCCTGAAGACTGCCCCTGCCCTTTATCCCACCAAAGGCGTAGAAGCGTGCAGGGGCTCGGTATCCGTAGTTACCGCAGTATCGCTTCAGTTCACTGCCCACAAGAACGTCGCTGCCGCACGGGACACAGCCACAACCATCCAGGCATTGCTGTCGATTGATAGCAGTAGGGATCAAAAACTCCGACGCGCATGGAATCGATGCTATACCCATCAGCAGCACCCAGCTCCTCACGAGCGAACTGCATCTTGGGTCAACGGCAAATGTCAAATGGCAGAATTAATCCCAGCTGTGCTTCCCAGCGATATCCTGCCATGCCTGACTATCACCCACATGGGAAGCCTTATGCTTTACTCTTCCGCGGAGAACACCCGCAACAAGGCTAAGAATGGAGACGGCTAGCTGGTTGCAGGAAGCCGCGCAGTCTTCTCCCTACTCGCACACAAACACGGCACACGAGCGCGCACGGGCCCACAACACTGCTACGACGCCGAAATGAACCTACATGGCCGGCGACTCAACCCACACCCTCAGACCCAGTTTACCACGATATCACATAACAATGCAGCGAAGTCACCCAGCTCCCCCTCTCCCATGTAAAGGCACAGTGCAACCTGCTCGGGGCGGGTCCAGACGCCAAGGGCTGATGTGCACCCAACGAAACATCCATTCTGGCCACCCAATTTTTCAACTACTGCACTACTCCCCCAGTGACCAATGCGTATAGCCACATGTTGCACCCTAAGCCCCCCTCCACAAGCTCTCGACGAAAATTGGAGTGGCACCGCCACCGCGGGCCATGCCACGACGCTCAGCTGCGACCATGAACCACTCGCCAGCATCATCACCAGCCTTGCTCTCGCTCGGACTGAGCGTTTAGCTGGTGCCCGGGGTTTCAAGTCGGACGATGGGCCTTCTCCCTAGACGGCAAACCAGGTAACGCCGCACGGAAAAAAGAATATGACGCTTTGCAATACCTGAGATGCTATGCAGTTGGCTGCGCTGCTGCCATTCGCAAGGCAAACCCCCTGCAGTTCCTAAAACGAAAAATCCCGGCGGGGCTCCCTAAGTACTTCCGAACACATTGAGCCACTCCTCGTGGCGCTTGATGTCCTCTTTCGATACAGAGGGGTTGATCTTGCGAATGGCCTGCTGGAAGTCCTCGGATGTGACCGGCTCCTGTGCATACGGGTGCAGTGGGACCCCTCAGGGAACTGTAAGACGGCAAGCAGAACCCAGGCCCAGACGGGAATTAGGCATGGTCAAAGCAGGTGGGTAAGGGACAAAATGAAAAAAGGGGACGGTGTGGGACATGGTATAGCACAACGACCACAATAACCAGCCAAATGCGCGGCCCAAAATCACAATGCCCCGGGCATGAAGAGTCAGCAATGGGCGTCCCCACCGGACAACAGCAGTGCTCACTTTAAAGCTGTCCTTGCCAGCCTCCCGAAGCGCCTTGATTTCTGCGGGCGTCTTGCCAGCCACCAACCGCCGCATGCCGTTCATGGCCGCGTCACGGCAGATGTTGGTGATGTCGTCGCCGCTGTAGCCCTCCAGCTGCGCAGCCACCGAATCCAGGTTGACGCCCGGCGCCACATCCACATCCTGTGCCACGAAACACCCTTGGCTAAGTTCCTCTCCCTTTCTGCCATCTGCGGCAATTGTGTTCCTGGCCGCGGCCCAAGACAGCCAGATGCTTCACACAGCCTGTGGCGTCCTAACTGCCTCTCACAAGGATAACATTAGATCGAGAAATTGACGATGTTGTTGACGATCCAGGAATTCGAGTTTTGCCTGAGTCCAGTATTAGTACATAGGCGGCTGAGGATTTCAAGATCGCCTGGGTCACGCTCCCTGTGTCCCTATACTGAGTCCTGCAATCGGGCAAGGTTAGTGCTACGCACCTTGAGATTGATCTTGAGCAGCTGCAGCCGCTGTGCCTGCCCGGGCAATGGGATATACACGCGCTTCTCCAGGCGGCGTCGCAACGCTTCATCGATGTCCCACGGGAAGTTGGTGGCAGCCAGCACGAACACGTGGCGCGGCGCTGGCGGTTCGCCGTCGGCCGAGGCGCTGTCCTTGTCCTTGTCGCCGCCACCGCCGTGCACGCCGTCGATCTGTTGGAAGGTATGCCCAGTGGTAAGCGCCACCCACGAAGGAAGGAGCCATGGTCTTGATGAAAATAATAGGAGAGCTGGTTTCTTTATTCGGTTCGCAGGAACGGCGACATTGCTTCCATGACAAACTCTGGTAGACACGGTTCGTGGTTTGATGCGCGGGAGCACCGGGAGCACCGCAGCGCGAAAGAAGAAAAGCAACTGCGCAGCTGTTAACGGTGCGAGAGTTAAAAGCACGCACAAAGGAGCACACATGCACTTTTGTATTTTGACCTCACAAGTAAGAACTCTGTATTCCGCTGCATAGCTGCTATCCAGCAAAACAGGCACAGGCGGACGCAAACGGACGCACAGGAGCGACACTTGCCCGCCTTTACCTAAGCCCATGACAAGCACGTGCTCCCAGGGTCTGTCATACCACGATGTGGCCATCTATCCAATTACTATTTAATCCATACAACCACGCAACCGCAAAGACGAGCAATCGCGACGTCAGGCCGATCAACTATCGCAGCACAGCAACGAAGACTTGGCAGCCCCCACGTGCCTGCACCAGCAGCTCCGTCTTGACGCGGCGCGAGGCCTCGTGTTCGTTCGCTGTGCCGCGCTGCGAGCACAGCGAGTCCACCTCGTCAATGAAGATCATGGACGGCGCCATCTCGCGAGCCATGTCGAACAACACGCGCACCTGCGTTGCACGGTGGGTGCATGCGTGGTTCGCATGTAAGCCGGTCCGTATGAATGCATGAATGCACAGTTGGCCAAGCAACCCTGTCATTTGTGCGCGTAATGCGCACGACGGCAAATGGTTACGGCACGGCACGTGGATGGACAAGCAAGCGCGGGCGCGCGGAAGGTAGCCGCTCTCGGGTGGGTGGACGATCGCTGCGAACATGGCCTTACACCGCCGGTGGCCGCTCTTGCAGGCGGCAGGAGGGTGGGACGCGAATTCAAAACGCCAGTCCAGGAAGAAGGGGAGGCCAGCAGATACCGGCAGGCCGACCAAGGGATTGCGGCTTGGCAAAGGGAACTGGGGCCACACCTGTCGCAGGTTCGTCCCCGGTTAGCGGAAGCGAACCAGCGGGTAGATGTAGACATCGGCTCCCTCCGTCGGGGTTTGCCCTCCTCCTCCTTCTTCCCTACCTTTGCAGGGACCCAAGTCAACTCAACTCAACCCACCATGCGTTCGCTCTCGCCCCGGTACTTGGACGCCAACGTGGCCGACGAGACGTTGAAGAAGGTGCACGACGTTTCTGTAGCAGCGGCTTTGGCCAACATAGTCTGTATAAGGGGTTTGTTGAGGGAATTCATTCTCAGGACGGTTGGGGATTCCGCAAAGCCCTGGATCATACCTGCGTGCGCCTTAGCAACCGTGCATGTCTTCATGATGTGCACCAATCCAGGCGTGTACTATACGATGGACAATCACTTCCGTCCAAACAGCAAGCGTGTGCGAAATGTTAGGGCATTTCGGGAACTATGCGCACTTGAATACATGCATATCCGGAAGTCTTGTATCCCACTACCCCACGACTGCGCGGAGAGTTGTCTGCCCTACCTTGCCGGTCCCAGGGGGCCCGAAGAGCAGCACACCCTGCGTGAGAAAGAGGGGAGGAAGGCATAGAAACCCAGGTAGGTGGGAAGGGACCATGTAAAGACAGGGAAGCAGCAGCAATGGCGGCGTTAAAAGCGGCACAGGAGGCGGGGGCCGTCCGCACGGGCACCTATTTGCACACAGCACGGAAGCGGGCAATGAGCCGTGAAAGGTTAAAGCCGCTCAAATCCTTGGACCGTTTCAAAGGAGAGCCAAGGGCCTCTCTCCCCTCTTTCAGAAAGGGACACGCGGAGCGACCTGGACCGCCACACACCCACTCAAGCGACGTCAAGGAAAGTGACCACGGTCATCAACTCCTATCTGCGCTCTTTCACATTACTACCAATCGTTGTGTGTTGGGACATAACGATATCCTGGGTTCCTCCCATGAGGTTCTCACCTTGACAGGCCGGCGAATACCCGTGAAAAAGTCGGGCATGATCATGGGAAGCACCAGGGCCTCGTTCAGCACCCGCTTAGCCTCCTCCAGCCCGGCAATGTCGTCCCACCTGCGCCGCACCGCACACCACCCCTCACGGTCACAAACACCGCATGGCAGACTGGAGATGACTCTAGACATCCGTACCCGTGCGGCTGCATCTCGATTCAATTCGTTCGTCACACAACCCCAGCCTTGCCATCCAGGCTGGCAAGGGCGCTGATCGGCCTCCCACTTGCCTGTTGAAGGCTGGGCACGGCGATAACCAAGCCCTCCTAAAACTTTGGTATCCAGGCATCTGCCGCACCCTCCACCACATCTTCCTGCACCTACGACTCCCACGACTAAATATTCCGCCAATCGATGCCACCGGCCTCTGCACCCTCATACTTGATGTTGATCCCCTGATCAATGATATCCCGTTCGAGCATCGTAGCCAGCTCCTGATCGGGTCCTATGTATTGCTTCTTGTTGCCGGGCGCCGCACCACCGGGGCCGCCGCCCTTGCCGCCCGCCGCACCGGCGGCGTTACCCTTGCCCGCCATGTTTTGCCGCCAGGGCTTGTCGTAGCTGCCTTGGTTGGCGCCGCCGCCCGGGTTTGCGCTCCCTGCCGCGCCGTAAGCCCAGCAGTGTGGAACCGAAACGCAATCAACTGAAAGTCTCGATAATAGCTAGGAGTAAAGATTCCCCTCCTTCCTTCCCTAGGAGCTGTGGATTGCAGGCAAGAAAGCTGCGCTGCTGGCGCCCCCGCTATCCGAATACCTTTTCCTTCTCCTAACCCCGAAGGATGGAAAGGCAGCCCTAAACTGCATCGCCATAGTTCCGCGAACATCTCTTCACCTCAATTTCGCCGCATTCTCGCCATTCCCACTATCTACAGCTCCCTCCGCTTTCCCACCGCCACCACTCCGGCCCTGCCCATCCCAGCCTTACCTGTGGGTCGCCGTTGTGCTGAGGAGGACCTGCCCGATGGCCCGCCACTGTTCCCCCCCCGACCGCCTCCGCCGTTGTTGGCCCATGACGGCATCTGACGGTTGTCGTCTTGACTAGCGCGCGCTCGGCCTGCCGGCGCACGGAACGCAACGCCGCCGCCACGGCCCTCTCTCGTGGGCGGGCGCCAAACCATGGGGTCGTCCTGGCTCTGTCCCGGATTGTGGCACTGAGGGCACGGCCGCACGGTATGGGTCACGCGGGCACTCAAAAATGTTTAGACAGATTGGCAAATTCGTCGCGTGTCGCAGAGAAAGCAGGCGTTCCTTCTTTCTGTTACATACGCGCCGTCGTGTTTCTGTTACACGGTACAAGTAAGCGTGTGCGTACGTATGTCAGGCTAGCTTAATGGGCATGGGGACCGGGGCCGTGTATGTCCTCCACCTCAGCGCACATACACACGCACATACACGCACGAGGTTGCTTACCACAACAATTGGTTGACGGTAACCGTCGTCATACGATGAGGAGCCCCGCGCGTCTCCCATCTGCTTCGTACAGGGTAGAGTCCCGGGAAGCAAACGCGAGGAGGGGCTAGATGATTTACCGGAGTTGTTGTTGGCAGATGTTGTTGGCACGCTCGTCGGCCAACCGTGTTGGGGCCAAGACAAATGGGACGATACCAACTACAGTCTCAAGGGTCAGGCATTCCTAGGAACGAAGAAGGCAGCAACCGGGCTGAGGACGGGCCGCAGGTTTCAACCACCAGCTGGCAAGGTTTTTCGGCATTGGTATAGGAGGGAATCACTAAGCAGGTTATGTGCACATTGCTACTATGGATACGGAGGCGCTCTTGGGATGCTGGGACTGTGCGGTCACTGGGGAAGGACTCACGTCCTGGTAACTGTTTGAACGGGACACGCCAGGGTCCATGCGCATTCCGCGGGCTTCCTTGTCACACTGCCGGACGATGCTGAACTCCTCCTGGAGTTGGTGTAGGAGAGCAGTCCACTGGCGGATGGCGTGTGGGTCACCAAGCATACGAATGTACCTGTGGATCGCGAGCAGTTGAGGACCCGGTGTTGGGGTGCCAGGTGATAGGCAAGGTGTGTTTACGACAATCACATCAGCAGCTAGTGCATTCTTCTTCTTCTGCAAATGCAGATGCTAACCTTGTCGTTGAATCAACTGCGTTTTCATAGTAAGTCACACTCGCGGAATAGTCCCCGGTCATGGCACAGTCACGCCCTGCCGTGACAGCAATGGTGATTGCCTGAACTTCGGCGGCCATGTTGTTTATCCACTAGGTGAAAGGAATTTGCGGCCGATGGCTTAAGTCTTATAGTATGTTGAAAACCATTATGTAACAAGTCCAGCGGACGGGACACAAGACTGACAGGACTGTTGACAAGACAGTTGCTCGCGTGGTACCGAAACTATGTTCGCAATTAAACTCCGGCGCATTTGCCGAGTACCACGTCAGCCCCTAATTCAGCACCCAGCGAGCAAGGCCTCTTTACGCATACAGTGTTAACCTGATTCACTCTTTGTCTTTGCTTTATTTTTCGGTCATCTTCAGCCCAGTGTTCCCAGCTGCAAAGCATGCCGTACGTGCAGCTAGTTCAAAATGCCGGCTGTGACTGCCGAGAACCCAACAGTAGCATTGTAAACAAACCGATGTAATATGAGGATAGCGCGACTTGGATTGAACTCGACTTGAAGCTGTGTTCACGACTGCGCGCGGAAGGCTCCTACTAGGAAGCCAGCATGGTAAATAGCAGCCGCATTGAATGATGGATATACATGGGTTGGTCTGAAAGCGCACACAGCTGTCAACAACTCTGACAAGACCGCTTGCCAGCAAGCATGGAGTTTACTGAAGGTGCCTACCTACCCGCGGAGCTGGAAGCGCCAGCGTTTGGTGTGCCTGACGACCAGAGCGTGCAAGAGGCCGTTGAGCGAATTGAGCCGTTCCTCAAGGGTACGAAGAACAGGAAGGTACCGCGCACCAGCTTTCTGCACAGCCAAGGCTAATATGGAGCGGCTCCGACGAAGTCACCAAGTTGCAAACCCTTGTTGAAACTGTTTATTGTTTATTTGATGAGGGTTAACAATTTCAGCTTTTATCACCCTGAACCACCATCAGTATGTCTTTAGCCGTGAACCACCAACAGGGCAAGGCACCATTTTCACCCCTTGCATACACGCTGCAGGCCAAGGTTACCTTCCAATTGGAGGACGTCTCAGGGTGCACAACGCAACAGCCGAGGAAGCTTATCAAGTCCTTGACCTTATCTTTCGACTGGTAAGGGGACCCCGCCGTTAACGAAGAGTCAGTAGGGGCATGCTAGGGTGCCGTCCCCCCGCTGGCGCCCTTGCTCAAGGGTTTACTCGACGTGGGTTATCTTGGGTGACTTTGCCCGTAACTCGGTGCTGCTGCGTGTGGATGGATTCCGCATCCTCCTGAACAGGCAAGCCAGCAGCAGCTTGATGATAGGTCCCGTGAGCAACTCCGAGACCAAGCGGACAAGGACCGCGTGGCGCTCGCCCACGCCCAAAAGAAGAATGAGTCACTGGAGGAGGGTAACAGAAAGTTGATGGCGCAAGTGAAAGAATTAGAGAGCAAGGTGCGATGGGGGTAGGACGAGGTCAAGGGGGATTGCGGTTTTGGTTTATATAAGAAAAGAGGGTTCGACTGTTCACTGCGGTATTGTTACGGTAGAGTAAGCAAAGGTTAGAAGTCTGTCTGGCATCGGGGGATCGATCTTCGAAGCCCCTCTTTCACATTTATTCCTGGCGCCTGGAACGATGTGCATTTCCTTTCTTGCGCTTTGTCCATATTCAGCTCCTGGCCGCCAAGCACAAGGCTGATGAGCAAGAGCGTGAGCTAAAGCAAAAGCTCCAATCGACAACTGCCAGGCTGAATGGGTACCTCTACGGCGGACGGGACGCTGGAAAGCGCACCGTTGCTGGCGCCGGTTGTGGTGGCGGTGCCAACTCATCCGCTGGTGTGGCACTGCGCAAAATGACCCCTGCCTATGACAGGTTCCTTGACGACCCAGCGGAAGCAGCCGCTGCCTCTCAGGTGGGTCACATGCCTGGCGTCGCGCTGGAGTGTTGCACTTCTAATCCTTTCCCGTCATCAGTCTGGTTGCTGATTGGGTGTTGCTTAGCTGCGTGGCTCTGCTGAAAAGCAGAGTTAAAAACATGTATGCTTTCTATGAGTCGGTCCCAGATGACTGGCTTAGAGGCACGAAGCAGCAAGGTCTTTCACAAGGTTTTTCCCTGCCAGACAGGGTAATGATCGTGTGCTTGCATTTGCAGAAGCTAGAAGCGGAGCTTTCGCAGCTGAAACAGCAAAATACGCGTCTTAAAAAGCAGCTGGCGGCAGCACGTGAACAGCTCGGTTCCAGCCCGCGAGCAGTGGGTTCTGGAGATTCTCCGCTGCGCGATGGCCAGCGGGGCGACCAGTTGGCGACGGTACCTGAGGTGGGGGCCCTAGGAGGCGGCCGCAACGGGCAGTGCAGCGACAAGCACACGGGGTTTGAAATGCAGGCAAGTGGGAGCAGCCGAAGACGTGCAATTCGAGGTCGAGTTGCTATGAACAGCTATTAATTTCTCACTTGGGTTACAGTGTCTTTGCTATGGGCGCTGTTTGATCTGTGTTTGGTGCGCTCTTAAAAGCTTCCCTTGGGGCATCACAGTGAGTAACGCAGTTGCCAACATTGCCAAGCTTCTGCCTTTGCATGCCCTGTTGGTCGTGGCTTCCCGTTCCCGCTGAATTAGGCGATGCGGAGTTCGCTCTCGGACTTCCGCAGCGCAAGCCTGAGTTCGGCTTCAAACGAGGTGGTGCGGCTCCAAAGGCTGGTCCGCGAGCTACAGATGGTGGGCGTTTGCATGATGGGGTCTGCTTACGTTGTACCATGTATAACCTACCAACTTCTGCGTTAAATAGAACTCCGTACGGTGCTGGAAAATACTGGACTATCCTTAGATGCCGAAGGTTCGCCGTATACTCAGAGGTCGTTACAGCCTCTCTTAGGAACACTTCGTTTTCTTTTTTATCCATCACTGACTATGCCGGCTACCCTGCAAGGGGACTGGGGCACCACGCGCTGCAATTTGTTAGCTGCATCTTCAAAAAGAGTCTCTTTATCTAGGTAACCGCAGCTTGAGCTTACGGACGGGGAAACCGTTATCCGGCATGCGATTTTAATCCGGTTTGGCTAAGTGACGTTGATTTTTAGGGTCAGCCATGCAAGTGTTGAACGTAGATTACGTGCCGGTCTCGGTGTCAATGGTAACGTGATACGGCGCGATGGAAATACTGTACTGACAGTAGAGTATAGGGGATTGTTCCTGGTTCAGTCATGATCGTTACAGTTACGGCCTGGATTGCAGCCGTTGGGCCAATTGCGGTGCTGTAAGTAACTTGCATCCGAGCAACTGCTTAGTACGGCCTGAAGGCACGAAACCCCCGAGCGCTGCCGACCTGACGCCGTTCGTCAATCCCGTTTGCAGACCGTGGAACAACAGCAGCGGCAGCTTGACAAGGCTACTGGAGATCGGTCAGAGCTGCACAAGACGCTGAGCTCCTTGCGAAGCAAATGCGTGAGCGAACGGCGATGAGAGGGTTCTGCGCTCTGTCACACGTTGCTCCTATACTGTTCGTGCGCGCTTGACAGTTTTTTGTCTTGCTGCTTTTGACACGGACCTATGAGTCTTGCGCCATGGAAGGCGTGCTTGTGTTTCAGATAGCGGCGGCCTTCTCCTGGGTTTTACTTGATGCAGCTGCTGCTTGCATGGTTTCGGCACGTTTGGCCCATCAGGCGACTCTGGAGGTGGAGCGAAAAAACGCGGAAGATCGATTCCTTCGGGCTCAACGTGCCACGGCAGCACTCCTTGAGCCGGAGGCCCAGAGTACAGAACTGCGCGGTAAACTAGCAGTCGCCGAGCGGGACCTCCACGAAGCCAATTGCAGGTATTCGTGCGGTGCGGCCTGAGCTGTATCCAACGTGCAGCATGATGTGAATTGCTCGGTGCTGTGTTCCTTCTTATGTGCACATACCGCGTCTTTTCTCCAATTGGGAGCGAAAGCGAGCCCGTGACGGTATGCACACAGTAGGAGGATGGGATCTGCCCCTTACTCGCACGCCATGCTCCTTGCTCTGCGACAACCTTCCTTAGTACTTCTCCCCATAGGGCCAAAGTACGCTCCCCTTTGAGCTATGCCTTCCTTCCTAATTCCCTCGCACCTCCACAGGGCTGATTTGCTTCAGCAGCGCCTCGTTGCCGCTGAGGTTGAACTTGAGTCCAACCAACGCCACATGGGGGTCCTTAAGCGAGCCATTCGAGCACTACCCAAGGGCCAACAGGCGCTTGACCAGTTGGGCCAGCTTTTGGCCGAGGAACTAGAACCGCTTCGTGCTCAGCTGCGAAGCGCAAAATTGGAGCTTGAAGTGGCACGATCACAGGTGCGCCGATGATATGCACGCGAGGACGCGTTTTCGCCATTGCTCGAGCAACAGATGAAAGATCTTTGATATGTTTGCATGTTCATGGTCACCGCTTCGCCTTTGCCGCGCCGTAGGCCGTTTTAACAGTACGGACTGATGAGCCGTCCTGTGCCGGCGGTACAGAAGGCCAGGACCCGCCCTCATCCAGGGGCCAATCAGCCAGGTGGAGTGCAGAGGGGCTTCCGCTATCCCCTGCACTGCCCCTTCCGGCATCGCCACCAGCCCGTTTTGATGGTTTCAGGACTAGGCCGGGCCTGACGGCAGACAGCCCGCAGCTGATGATGCAACCGCCGCCGATCCACGCCTTCTATAACCGGGCTTACTCCTCCACGATGCCGTCGGAACGGTTGTTGATAAGCGCATCGCCACTTGAAGGTCCTCTGGACGTTCAACCGTCACGAGTGCCAGGCGAGCAACCAGGCTTTGGAGACCCAAGCTCCGGGGGAATGCAGCAGGGTGGTACAGGCAGCTGCAGCGGTGCTGCCGGTAGCGGAGCTGTTATGCGGCGAAGCATGTCTGCTGGTGTGGCACACCGCGTTGGCGATGCATACACGTCAGCCGAGCGGCAGCGCGCCCGCTGGCAGGTACACAACACACAGGCACGGCAACGCTTCCCGAGCCCCATTGATATTATCATGGAGCAGGCGCGGAACCCCACGACGGCGGACGCAACCATATCTATTGTCGCTTCGCCGATTCCGTAGGCGCGTGGGGGAACATCTTCACAGGGTTCATCTCCCTGACTTGTTCTGTAAGAAATTTTGTTTGATGTTCTGGAATTTCACAGTCACGTGTGTCCTCGCTTTGATGGTGGAGGGACTGTCGATTATGCTGATACGTCGCGCATACGTAGCTAACGGATATTATTAACGGATATTATTTGTAAGCAAACGATGAAACTTCGAATCTTTAATACGATAAAATCACCTGTGAAGTACAAACACTGTCGTTACAAGTATAATTTCATTTTCACCACATTAAAATGTCACATGGTGACAACGATACCTGATGAATCAAGTGCTGGGCTAATCGCCCATCTACACGAAATAGCAAAAGCGAAAGGGTACTCTGTCCAGCCTGGACAACTGCACAATGCTTGGTAAACAAAGGACGTAAAATTGGTCAAGTCGCATCCCGGCAGAACATGAACCGTTGACGTGAGTGATATTCAACAACGCGACAACAAAACGCGTTCGCATAGGGGCATACACAGTTTCAGGTTGACGCAGCCAAAGCCAACTTCCATGATATACCCGAGTCCTAATGACGGACTGGGCAGGCAAGTACTGCATTCAACCCTTACCACAGGCTATGGTAATGGCATGGGAACTGAAACACCCAAAACACCCACACCTCGCTATAACCAGAACATGTGCATAGGCAAACAGCACCACCAGCATACACGGACATGGGCAACACGAGCGCAATGCGAGAATGAAGGGTCCGGACCTGCTAAAAAGCAGAGTTTTCGAGAGGTAGGGCAGCCTAAGTCAGGCTCTGTACAGCGGGAGCAACACGGCACGGCTCCTACGCACACCATTCCACGCACAGGGAACGTGGTGGCGGCTGTTCCGGCCTTTGCCCCATTCCATGGCCCCACAGCCCGCAGCCCCACCCTGAACAAATGGGTGAAGCCAGGCCAAGGCCCTCGGCTGATTTTGAGCCGAAGAAAGACTTAAAACGCAGGCCGCGGCGAGGAAATCTCCTTCCCCTCGAAACAGACCAGTTGACACTCACCCAGCCGCCCTCGGGCGCACCGCGCTCACGACTAGTCAACACAGGGTCGGGCAGCGAAGCACTACCTGCCGCGCACATCACGCACTCCCGAACATGTGCGCGCGCATACGTTCCTCGACAGGATTACTAAACGCGCAGTGCAAAAGCCCGCGGACCCCCTCCACTCTCGTGCTAAGCGCGGTTCGCTCGTCTCTGCAGAGCTCTTTCAAGTGATACGAATTTGAGCACTTTGGCAGCTAGGTGTAACATAATCTTCTCTGTCGGCGTCAACACTCGCATCTGCTCATTGCGGATTTCGGAACTCAGGTACACGCCACGATCTCCGGGGCCCCCATTACGACATGGACACGGCAACACAAGCAAAACTTGGGACGACATCCCTAGTAAATTCGAACATGGTGGATGTCAGCAAGGTTTCCTCCGATGAAGCCTCCCAAGCACCAGCCAAGTCCACAATGCTTCCAGAAGGCCCAACGTGCCTCATGAGCAAAAGTGGCGACTGATGTGCTGCTCGAGCCCGTTTACGGGGTACCAAAACCCAGGAACCAAGCTGATGCGCAAACCCCACGAACCGCTGCTCGCGGCGCTACGGCGTTCAAAGAGGCACGCAGCGCTTATCTGTAAGCACTGCCGTACCGGATCCGGAGCGCAACGCCGCCAGCTTCCATCGTGCATCTGAATGCCCATATCATACCCATCATATCCATCCCCACGCCTCAACCCCCTCTCTCATTTAGTAGCGGCATCGTCAACTGTCCTAACCGGGGAAAGCGGTCCTAACCGAAACTAAGCTACAAAAAACGACCCAGCGGAAACCTGGGGTACCCCCAACACTTGACAGCCGAGGCACCCGGCTCTTAGACCACGGTAGTTTAGTCCCAGGCGCTCTGATGGCCACCGTCTGCGCAAATGACACGGGGGGAACATACGTGCGGATTTGAGTATGAGGAAGACATGGCAATGCAGCAGGCGACTATCGGAGCGCACAGCGTTCATCATTCGTGCAATCAGTACCTGCATCATAGCTCGCTTACGTGAAACCTAGTTCTATTACACACCACAGCATGACTACACCAATAACTCACAGCCGCCACCGTAGCCGCCACCACCGTAACCACCGCCGCCGCTGCCGCTGCCGTAGCCACCGCCACCATAGCCACCGCCGCCGCGGTTGTCTGTTCGCAATGTATGCAAAAACAGGTCAGCAGTACAACTAAACACAAAATATGCATTAAACGTCGGAATGCATATGCATGTGTCGCTTTCACTTTCGCTGATGCTACCGCCATTCCGTTTCCCTCACCGCTACTTCCAAGACTGCCGTCATCGCCACCGGATAACGGCAGGCCCCATGGCGACAGCAAACAGTGACGATTGCAGCGTATACCAATAGCAGCTGCGACACAATCAGCCGGCCTTACAGCTTTGGCGAGCCGGCGGCATTCCGACGAAATGTACGATTAAGACCGCGCAGCCAAAACAATTGCATGTCTCCCCCTCCTCGCGAGTTATACTTACAGCTGCTGCCACCGCCGTAGCCGCTGCCACCGTAGCCACCACCGCCTCCGCCATAGCCACCGCCACCACCGTAATTATCCTTGCGGAAGTCGCGGCCGCCAAAACGACCACCACCGCGGCGGCTCTTTTGGCCGTAACCAGGCGTGCGGGCAGCGTAGTTCTGCAGCCAGCCGGGTACTGCCTGGTTCGTCTCCGTCAGCACCTCCACCAATGAGCGAGCCAATGGCGCATCCGCATCAGTGAAAAAGGCCGTGGCAAGACCCTTGTGGCCAGCGCGTCCCGTGCGTCCAATGCGGTGCACGTAGTCATCGATGTCCTTAGGCAGGTCGTAGTTGATCACGTGGGTCACGTGAGGAATATCCAGACCACGGGCAGCCACGTCGGTAGCCACCATGACGGGCGTCTTCCCGCTCTTAAAGCTGCGCAGCGCCTGTTAGATGGAAAGGGAGGTGGGACAAGCCACTTGATACTCAAAACATGTCATCATCCAAGACATTAATTTGGCAAAGCACGGTAGCATGCAGTTGTTTGCAAAAGGGACACATGTAGAGCAGGTCCCGACTACCCTACCGTCTTCCACGTATAGAACATCGAACGGCAGAAAACGTAACGCGTCTCATCCCTACCCAGCCCACTAACGTACCATCTCGCGCTGCTCCTGCGAGCGATCACCGTGGATCGATGTGGCTGGCAGTTGGTTGCGCGTCAGAATGCGCTCCAGCTCGTCCGCCCCGCGCTTCGTCTCCACGAATACAAGCGTCAGACCCTATATCGAAAAGAACGGTACAACACATGTGAGACAGCCCTTTCATGCAGCACAGGATTGTACCGCTAAAAGGCATTAGATCCTAGAAGTACGCTAACCCAGTTATGTTCAAAAACTGACCTCGACCGTGCTGATAAGGTCCAGCAAAGTATTCTGCTTCTCATCGGACGACACATACTCGATGTGCTGCACGATGAGGTCGGTGGAGGAGCCCACACGGCCAACAGTGAGGAAGACATAGTTGCTCAGGAAATCTGCTGCCAATCGCTGAATCTCCTTAGGGAAAGTGGCGCTGAACATCAGCGTCTGACGCTGGCCAACAGGCGGCATGTCCTCCTGCTCCACGATACGCCGGATCTGCGGCTCGAAACCCATATCCAACATGCGATCTGCCTCATCCAAGCAGAGAAACAGGATCGACGACAGGCCGACACGCCCACGCTCGATGAAGTCGCTGAGGCGGCCGGGTGTAGCCACAAGGATGTCACAGCCGCGCTCCAGGTCACGCAGCTGAATGGGTATGCAACAGAGTTTTAACATACATCCGGATGAGGGGTACTCAAGCTTTTTGAAAAACATGATGGGATTACCAATGACCGCGGTGGTAAATGTAGGTAACAGAGCCCCAGGTGTTCATGCAAACGCTATGCACTACTAGCCCCGCCGATGTGCGTTCCCGGTCCGCGCACGAAGGAATAAGCGCTGCGCAGGCGAAAGAAGGTATACAGGCGGGGGCATTGCCCCTTCTTCGGGGCAGCCAACTCTTGCGTTACGCGCACCGCGCACGTCAATATACGGCAGATGCGAAATGCCAGGGTTGATTCACATAAATGTTTCCACAAGTTAGTAAAATGTCTAATCTCATTCATTTCCCCACCTGGTTGGGTGCTGGAGCACCACCGTATATGACCACAGGGCGCAGGCCGGTCATGTAAGTGAACTTTCGCGCTTCGTCGTAAATCTGGGACGTCAGCTCGCGCGTTGGAGCCAACACCAGTGCGCCTGGTAGCGCTTTCCGGCTGTTGCGGCCAGCCGCAGGCTGGTAACCCTTCAAGAGCATAGACGCGATGATGGGAAAGCAAAAAGCAGCTGTCTTGCCGGAGCCCGTCTGTGCGCAAGCCATTAAGTCTCGTCCTGCCAAACCAATGGTAATAGAATGCTTCTGCACAGGCGTGGGCTTGGTAAACTTGCAGCGCTTTATGTTGTCCATCATGCACTGCGGCAAATTAAGCTCCTCGAAGCTGTGCACTGGTTGCGGAACGTCCTTGCCGCTGGTCTCGACGGGAATCTCCTCATAAGCATCGAAGTTAATGCCGGTGTTCTCAGCGCCGTAAAGCGCGTCAATCTCAGCCTTCTCCTGCTCTGCCTTCTTGAAAGGATCGTCATAAGGTCGGTTAAAGCCCATACCGCCTACTCCTGCTCAAGCAGCAAAAGCAACCCGCTTAGATGTAATTAAAGCTGCAAGAGCCTTGCCATGACACCGTTGAACAATACTTGACGCGTTTCGCGCCATTGCCCGACCCACCAGGTCCGCCGCCCTCGCGCGGCTGGCCAAAGCCGGCCCGGCGATCGCCAAAACTGCCACCGTAGCCACCGCGACCACCACCATAGGCACCACCACCACCGCGAGGGCCACCGTAGCCACCGCCACCGCCATAACCACCGCGGCCGCCTCGATCACGGTCCTCAAATCCACCAGCAGGGCCGCCAAAGCCGCCGAAGCCTCCAACTACAGGTCCAGGAGGAGGAGGTGGAGGTGGAGCCCCCATAGCCATGCCCCGCAGGTGTGGAGGCACATATTGTCCTCCACCACCAGGTCCCTGAAAGGCCATCTTCACTAAACTATATATGTAAAATTTGGCCCTAACTCGGGCAAAAATAAGAGTCTCAGCTGAACCTTTCGGTCAGCTTGACAAGGGATAGCAATAGTTCGGTTGGGCAACTTAATGAACCGGGGAATGTACGGCAGACGCAAGTTTGTAAGAGCAAACACGCAAAACTTTGGTTTTATTGCTTCTGGTAGAGCTCAGCGCAATGGGATCTGCGGTAGCAACGGTTACAGTTAAGGACATGGAAACGTTGCTCGTCTTTTACAGTTCATATACCATACGTACAGGCCATCAGACGATGATCATTGGAGGGAAGTTACATGCCAAACAGTTCCATTCCAGGTCAGAAACTTGACGTCCCCTACGCTAGGCCCACTAAATGACATCCTTGGGCCCCCAATGCTTACAGACCTCATCTTGGAATTTTTCACGCAATAACGCTTAAACCTTCTAAACTGCCGATTAATCTGTGGTGAAGGATCTAAAGATTTTCCTTGCTGAGGCCATACAGGAAAGGCGCTGTAGGCTTGCGTGCAAGGAGTCGTGGTGCCACAATTACAGAACTTGATAGGGGAATGTGCCTGCAACTGGTACCCATCTTAGTCACACGTCAGGCTTAGCAGCTTGTTCGGCGTGCTGGTTTGAACATTTTCGCTGTTGCGCCATGCTGCTTGCCCGGTGCGCCTTATCCTTCATATAATTGTAGCAGCTTCCACATACAGTTCCACATACAGATGCGATGGATAAGGCATTCGTTTTTTTCTCAACCTGCCGCGTTCCTCGGACTCCGGGGTCGCAATTTCCCGCTCGACCATTAGTTTTGCAGGGGACTTCCCCCCTTGAAAGGGCTGATCAACTGAACAGGGGCCCGGTGCAGCATTGTTTCTTCGCCCACCTATTTGTGCCGCGCGGGCTCTTCAGGATTTCAGTCAGGAACCGGAGTTCTAGAGCCGTTTGGCATGCTGCAATGCCTTGTCCCATAAGTTTTAGCTTAACGGCCCGTAAAATATCACAATCCGCTGCGGCAAAATAGCCGAGTGGAAGCAAGCAACCTATTTTGTTACAATGCGGGTGTCGTTGGGCGACACCCGAAGTGTCCGCAGCGGGGTTTTGGGAGATTTTGTGCAGTGTCGGCACTACCGCCCTCAGCTTGCTTGCCTTGACGAGGAGCTTTGACTAAGAAAAAAACCTATGAGGCTTCGCCTAAGTCCTTACCTTTGCTGCAGCCACGGCACCCTTGATCAGCCCGGTCACGTCAGGCTTCCATTGCCTCAACCTCAACGCATGCAACTAACATACACTGCAACACCCGATCCGTACGACCCTGTCTTGCCGTGCACTTAAACGAGGTTATGTACTGCAAACTCAACGGACCTCCGTCACAAAGTGCTTTACCTACCAAAACGTCTGCTAGAGCGTATTACAGCTTTTCCACGTGTACCTTCCTTGTCGAAATGCGAACCGTGCTTCCCTCACATCGGCATCCAGGTCAGCCGCACGCCGCTAATCCATCCGGGACTGCCGCCGTATCCCTTCTTGGGCTGCGGGTTCTTGGGGTCGGCTTGCTTGAGCCAGCACTGGCGGAAGCGGTACCGCTCGCCGTCGCAACCCGTTGGATCAACACACCAGGTCCATAAGTTGCAGCCCTGTCAGGGTAGATAGGCAAGCACAGCAGCCATGCATTTGCGGCAGAGCAGAAAGACATGTGGAAAGAAGATACCTTGCATGGAAGGAAGCGCACCTTGATTGGCAACCGTAAGCAGTTCGTTTCGGGGGTTCATAGTCTCCCCTCCCTCCGCCCCCTTGCCCACATCAATCACCCCTACTAGCCGTCACACCTGGGTGCTGGCACATTGGTAGCAGCAGTCCTCTGCCGAGTCGGCGGTGTTATAATCTCCGGGGGTAATGATCTGGCCGTTGCATGGAGAGAGGAGGATGCGAAAGCGGACAGGGGTGACGGGGTGACGGGGTGACGGGCTGCTTGTGAGGCGCAAGGGACCAGCACGAACACTGCAGAAGAGCAACAGCATCGTGAGCGCTAGCTTGCCGGTTCTAGCTGCCGTCCTCAGCATGCGAAAGGTACTTGCTTTCATGCGCAGGCGGCTTTATTCCCAAGACGCACGGCTAGTGCTGGACCCCCTGCTCTCGGTCAGTGCCAAGCCCGGTCAGGTACGGTACGAGGTGATATAAACACTAAGGTCTGCAAAGGTGCTCCAGGCCGGAAGGGCCTTATGGCAGGCAACTTCAAAACGTTAACGAGAGCTGAGCTGAGGTCACATGTTGTGTTTCAGCTGCCATGGGGCTTCCCAGGGTGTGCGGTATCTCGTCAGTCGAACGGGAGGGGTCAGGGGTCCTCCGCACGCCTCTCCCCCGTGTGGAATACTTCATGTGGAATCACGACCCAGTCCACCGAAGTTGTGCGCACCGAGGTCTCGTTGAGATCGGTGTCCAGCAGCACAGTGCAGGGCTGAGTGCCCGAGCACCCCTGCATACCGCCATACGAACTTTCTCGACAGTTGGTGGTGACGATACATGCAGAACCATAGTCCTGAATGTGTGCGCACATGCCCTGCATGATGGTGGGTGGTTGCACATGGCACAACCAGATTATATACGATGATTACGAAATGCTTAGCCCAAGAGGCGGTTCTACAGCACTGACCTCGAAGGCGTCTTAGCGCAGAAGTGGACAAGAGCAGTGCACTTCGCGAGTGCGGTGCGGGGGAAGTGTGGCCTGAGGAGCTCGTGCAGCTCTACTATCCTTCACGTAGCGACATAAGCATGCACACGACAGAGAGGGGCACCTGGCTCGCTTAAAAGGCCGTCTTGTAACAACACCATTGTGTGGCAGGACTGTTACAAAGGTTTTTTAACCATGAACCGGGCCCCGCAGTACAACTGCAGTGCCTTCCCCGCCGCCAGCAGTATTACAAATCTGCAGCACTTTGTACAGCACTGACCTCGAAATTGTAGCCGCCATACTGGTAGGTGGAGACGCAACTACACGAGTAGCCCTTCTCGGGGAAGGGCGCGCTGTCGGTGAAGTTCGCGGCTGTGGTGCCGCTCATCCAGCCAGTTGCCGTATCAGCCGAGTTCTTGGGGCGGGGGAACTTGCCACGGGTGGATGCACCTTGTTTTGGCGGCGTGTCGTACTTGAGCCAGCACTGTTGGTACCTGCAGTAGAGGCAGGCGGGCGGACCTCGGCTTCCAACAGGGCCGTACAAGGCAAAGGCCATCAACCTCTACCCCTTGTCGGTTCCTTCCAGCACCCCGAGATGCATGGACGGGGCGGAGGCCACCCATGCTGGGCCAGACACCCGGCGTGTGTGTGTGGATGTAAAGTGTGATGCGACTGTGAACGACCGCCGCAACAAGGGTGTACGGCACTACCAAGTACGGCCGCAACCGGCACGGGGTTGCTAACGGTAACCGACTCCCCTCCTCCCATAATACCCCCTTACGACGGGAAGCTAAGGACACGCCAAACCACGGCCGCCACGTCAAGTGGTGCCGTCTCACCAAGGTCGCAAGCCAGAAGCTGCACGTGGCCCAGGGTTCTCCATCCCCATCCGGGCCGAACATTGAAATTTTGAGAATTGTTTGCTTTTTATTTTGAGGGAGCGATCCGAAAGAAATTGGGGCTGTGCGAAGTGGCTTCGTGGGCCCCAGCGAAGCCACCCGAGGGCCTTTTAGAAAAACCCGAAAGCAATTTTTAGCGCCAACCTACGTGGTTTCGGGCGCGGAAGGCGCCCGGTAGCCGGGTCTTGTAGTGTAAGGCCCGCCTTGTCGCCAGTCAGATGACTGAAGTATAAACACACATTGAGGCTCAAACTGCACTAAACTACCCGACATATACGTGAAACTGTATCGCACAAATTCCCCTCGGTTTTGGGCAACATCATTGCCTGAACGATTGCCCCGCGATCCCAAATAAGGTCACAGGCAGCAGATCTAGCATTTTGCGATAGAATCCTTTCGCTTAAATTTACTCCGAAAGCCGCTTGGGACCGTTTCGGGGTGCCCGGGGGCTGGCAGGGAGGCGTTCGGGTAGGGCCCAGATATTTGTAGAGGGTTCGGCTACAAGCGATGTTTTTGGGTACCCTTGTGAAGAGCCCTGACGTGGGCCCTGTCTTCATGACGTGCAAGTGCACGTGTGCACCCACCTCCTTTGGTCTCTGGTGTAGGAGCCGCCCGGCACACAGCCACTCACGGCAGCACACCACACCCACACATTGCAACCGGTGGTGTTGAGGCAGCTGTCACGGCATGCGGCGGCGCTTGGCTGGAAATTGTGCGCCTCGTCCGCGTCCAGTACGATGGCGCCCTCCGCGTCCCGATTGGCAACCGCCACAACGGAAGCGGGCGGTGCGGCGGCATGGAGCTGGACTGAGGGTGTGGAGAAGGTGCGGCCCGGCAGGGGCCAGGTCAGGAGGGGTTGTGGGTTGGGAGTGGGAATGTGAGGAATGTGAGGCTGCGGCAATGGCATGGGGAACACTCAGAGGGAGCTGACTCCAGACATAGACGGCCGAAGGAGCCAAGGCGCCAAAGGTTCGTTCGGGGCACTGCGCGGTGTCCCTGTCACGTATTAAGGAGCCCACAAAGGTCCGACGTACTTCCTCACCGGATGCTGTGAGGGCCAGCAGCAGCAGCACTGCGAGTACCGGCATCCTTAGCCTCTGATGGTCGCCTAACTGACCCATGGTTCGGTCTTGCCAACGCGAATGGAGCACAGCGGAAAGGAAAGAACACTTCCTTTGGTGTGTCCGGGCAGAACCCTTTTAGACTTAGTGGCGTTGTGTCTTGCTGATGAATTAAAGGTAAGGTTATGGGAAACTTGGATGGCGATTTAAAGCGTAGTGAGGATTGGAGCCGCTCCCACGCCATGATAGTAATTCCCATGCCCCGCGATTCCTTCGATCCTGTAGAACAAAAGCTGATGATAACAACGGGTATTACATCATCCTTGGAAGCACGATAGACAGCATAATTCATGCCTTGCCCATGAACGTCAATTTGGGAGGTGTTTTCGGAACGGCAGTACCGGCGCATCGCAGCTATCACTGATTACTTCTATAACTGGCGTATCCGTCATGCAATCGGAGGCAAGCTGGAGGAGGACTAGCCGTCACGAAGAAGAAAGCATGATTTCCGGTGCTGTTGATTGGGGGTGCATACGACTTTATCGGCTGTGCACATCGAACAATTATTTCATTAGCAGTTGCTGCAGATAACGAAGATGAACCCCTTCTTCCCCTTTAGGGGATTCCTTCCCCTTCATTATCTTCCCGAAAGGGGAACCAAAGGCGTCCGAAAGGCGCATACGTATGCAACGCCCTGACGAGCGCCAAGCACAGCTATAACATTTTGGACCTTTCACGGCCAAACAGTTGGAAATGAACACAAAGCGTCAAATTTGCTGGTTGTGGGGTCCATGAAGAATAAATGCATTACAGTCATCGAGAGCAAGGAACGGGTTGTCAGGCGGTATGGAAACCCAGCCTTTGGGAGCGTGATTTCTCGCCGTGAACGCAGCTGAACGCAGTAAGCCGCTCCCACAAATCCAAGACCACAGCAGTCGGGTACTATGGGAAACGAAACCCTTACGACAAGCATTCTACGACCCAAGTTCACAGCACTTGCAACTGAGAGGCAATTGACTACATCTCACACCAGTGTATATGGAGCGTGTAAGCCGAACGCTGTGGGCAAGGTGGGCAGGTGGGCAAGGTTTGTTTGCTCGCTGTCCATCATACTCGTCCTAATACTCTCCATACTCTCCATAATCGTGGCTAGGGATTAGCTCCCACGGAACTCGCCACATACGCGTAAGGGTGCCGGGTAAAATCATCCAGCAAGCTTTGTGTCATGGTATTTGACAGGTCGTTATGGCATGACCATGCATCCATAATGAATTGCCCATGTATAGCTTCTAAAAATTCATGCATAAAGTTGGTCTAATCATCACTACTAATTCTACTTTTCTAGAACATCATGCCACAGTGCCAGGCCAAGCCCTTTGAGGCGAGTAACCGAAGCTCCGGGGCAGGGTTCCTTTGCATACTATTCTGCACAATATTCCCAGCACCTTGCCCTCGTCATCGAGGCCAGACTGAACCATGGTTCCGTTAGGAGATCGGAGAGAAATCGAATCTTACCTCTGCAGGAATGTTTTGATGTGCATTAAAGGGGGGGACGTTGATACGTGAAACGCGCGTACGACATGTCCGAATGCACGCAACTTGGGACACTATGGGGAAGTAATACCCACAGCTCCTGTCGCCGTCATTAAGCCAATGGGCAACGCGAGTTGCCGAGACGGTTCCGTTCCAAAAGTGTGGTTAACTGCTACCTAAAACCTTCATGTGTGTTACACCGCGCTTTGTCATCATCAGGCCTTGTTGGCGGTCAGCTTCATAGTTGTCAGCCAGGCATTCGCACTACGAAGTAAGGTAAGCATCAAAAGGATATTATCATCCTTTATCATATGGAATTTCATATTGCAAGAATCTTGGATGCAGGACGTATTTCAGCCGAGGCGCGAATAAGCAGCTTGCTAGCTATCCAAGCCGCAAATTAACTTGAGGTAGAACTCCTTTCCAGCTGACGGTCGGATGCATGTTTTATTCGGCATCGTCGTTCCAGAGCGTTCCGAAACCAAATAAACTCTCCAGCCAACCCCGAGACCTGGAGTATCATCAAACGGCATCCATGGCAGCGAGGCGACGGATGGACTGCATCCACATGAATCACATCATCCTCGCTCTCCTGCTTCACATCGGCATCCAGGTCAGCCGCACGCCGCTAATCCATCCGGGACTGCCGCCGTATCCCTTCTTGGGCTGCGGGTTCTTGGGGTCGGCTTGCTTGAGCCAGCACTGGCGGAAGCGGTACCGCTCGCCGTTACAAGCCGTTGGATCAGCGCACCAGGTCCATAAGTTGCAGCCCTGTCAGGGTACATAGGCAAGCACAGCAGCCATGCATGTGCGCGAGAGCAGAAAGACGCGTGCAAAGAAGAAGCACGGAGATACCTTGCATGGAAGGAAGCGCACCCTGATTGGCAACCGTAAGCAGTTCGTTTCGGGGGTTCATAGTCTCCCCTTCTTCCTCCCACTTGCCCACATCAATCACCCCTACTAGCCGTCACACCTGGGTGCTGGCACATTGGTAGCAGCAGTCCTCTGCCGAGTCGGCGGTGTTATAATCTCCGGGGGTAATGATCTGGCCGTTGCATGGAGAGAGGAGGATGCGAAAGCGGACAGGGGTGACGGGGTGACGGGCTGCTTGTGAGGCGCAAGGGACCAGCACGAACACTGCAGACGTGCACTGCAGACGTGCAACAGCATTATGAGCGCTGATTTGCCGGTTCTAGCTGCTGCCCGCAATGGTGCAGGAGTAGCGGTGCATACTTTTCTATCACAAACAAAGAGTAAGAGCTGGACCCCCTGCTCTCGGTCAGTGCCAATCACAGATCAGGTACACGGTGATATGAACACAAAGTCTGCAAACGCACCCCAGTACCAAGAGGTTCCAGGGTTGGCAAGTCCCAAGCTCCAGCTTCGATACGTTCACCTGGATATAAATTTTGCGCATTGAATCCCGTGAAATGTGCGCACCTTCGTGGCGTTTAGGTCGGTGTCCAGAAGCACAGTACAGGACGGAACGAGCGGGCAAGAATTAAACGTGCCAATTAGATCCGCACTGCAATTGGAGCTCCCCACGCATACAGGACCGCCACCCTGAAGATTGGCGCACATGCCCTGCGATGAAGGGTGCAAGTGCCACATGCATACCGTGCGACGGTTACAAATTGTCCAGCACCAGGTGGGGCACAGTCACTCAGAACTCGGAATCAAGAGCATTTAGTAATGACTGAAAGGAGCAGAATGGCACATGCAATGTGTTCATGATGTGAAACATGCATGCATGTCCACATGACCGGGAACCTGGGTGGCTGCACAAAAAGGCCGCCTGCAGGAGCTGTACAGCACTGACCTCGAACCTGTAGTCAAGGTACTGGTATTTGGCGAGGCACTCGCATGCAAAGTTTTCCTCGGGGAAGGGCGCACTGTCGGTGAAGTTTGTGACCGTGGTGCCGCTCATCCAGCCAGATGGCTGGTCAGGGGCATTCTTAAACCGGAGAAACATGCCACGGGTGGATGCACCTTGTTTTGGCGGCGTGTCGTACTTGAGCCAGCACTGTTGGTACCTGCAGTAGAGGCAGGCGGGCGGACCTCGGCTTCCAACAGGGCCGTACAAGGCAAAGGCCATCAACCTCTACCCCTTGCCGGTTCCTTCCAGCACCCCGAGATGCATGGACGGGGCGGAGGCCACCCATGCTGGGCCAGACACCCCCGTGTGTGTGTGGATGTAAAGTGTGATGCGACTGTGAACGACCGCCGCAACAAGGGTGTACGGCACTACCAAGTACGGCCGCAACCGGCACGGGGTTGATAACGGTAACCGACTCCCCTCCTCCCACACCCCCTTATGACGGGAAGCTAAGGACACGCCACACCACGCCTCCGTATTAAGTGGTCCCGTCTTGTCAAGGTCGCAAGCTGTCAAGGCCACACGTGGGGGGCCTCTTCATCAATCCTGCAGCCTGCAAGCTCTCCCGCATCTTATGGCGGTCGTCACTCTCTTCAGCGCGGGAGGGCCACCTGATAGTGATCCACAGGAATGCACCCACTTGCTGAGGTCGCGAGGGGTGTAGGAGACACCTGATGAGCAGCCACTCACGGCGCCACACCACACCCACACATTGCAACCGGTGGTGTTGAGGCAGCTGTCACGGCATGCGGCGGCGCTTGGCTGGAAATTGTGCGCCTCGTCCGCGTCCAGTACGATGGCGCCCTCCGCGTCCCGATTAGCAACCGCCACAACGGAAGCGGGCGGTGCGGCGGCATGGAGCCGGACTGAGGGTGTGGGGAAGGTGCGGCCCGGCAGGGGCCAGGTCAGGAGGGGTTGTGGGTTGGGAGTGGGAAAATGAGGAATGTGAGGCGGCGGCAATGGCAAGGGGACAACCGGTTGCGGAGCCAAGGCGCAAAAGGTTTACGAAGGGGCCGCAAACCGCCGAGGATGAGGAGCTGGTAGGATGCTTCGTTCGGGGCACTGCGCGGTGTCCCTGTTACGTATTGAGGAGCCCACAAAGGTCCGACGTACTTCCTCACCGGCTGCTGTGAATGCTAGCAGCAGCAGCACTGCGAGCACCGGCATCCTTGGCTTCTTATTGCCGCCTAACTGACCCATGGTTCGGTGTTGCCAACGCGAATAAAGCCGGTGGAAGGGAAAGAGCGCTTCCTTTGGTGTGTCCGGGCAGAAACCTTTAGACTTAGTGGTGTTGAGCGGGCTATCTGCCAAGGTTCTGGGAAAGCTTGCACGGCGTTCCAAAGCGCAGCGCGAACTGGAAGCGCTCCGAGGGCCATGTTGACCGCACGCCCGGCGAGTCCTTCGACTTGCCCGGCCGCACGGGCACCCAACCGAGAGCTTTGGAAGCAGATTAGTAACACCCCATACCTCATCCTTGGATGCTCAGCAGACAGCATGTTTCCTGTTGTAATGACCGTTAATCTTAAATTGCTTCCCCGGAATGCGAGTCGGTCGTGCATCACTGTTATCACCTTGTCGGCAGCGAGTTGGGCCAGCCGTCGCAAATAGTGAATAGCAAGCTTTCGAGGGCCACGAGCTTGTAAGAGGGGAAAAGCGGCCCTAGGGCCTCTGACGGGCCGTATTATTGGCTCCACGTGCATTCCAAATAGAGGTATGTGAGTGTTCAACAACGCCTTAATCAGTCCTTCTCAAAGCAGTACTTTGGGCTTAAAAGCACAAAAAACGTTTTTGGGGTCAAGGGAAAGCAAAACTTCTAAGTTAGGCCATATATGTGTAGGATGCGTAGGTGGCGTCCGATGTGTATGCATGTGTATGCATGTATGTATGTATGTTTGTGTGTACTACGGCTTCGTGTGTGCATACGAGGCCGTAGTAGTAAGCACGCATTGAGAACACCACACACGGCATGGGCCCAGGTCTAACGTGTTACTGGCTTCGTGTTCGTCGTCTGGTGCCCTGCTTATGTTCGTTTTACATTTCCCCCTTACGCCCGGTAGGGGCAGCAGTCATACTGCATGCGTTCTATTTCTGTTCACGAGCCCTGCTGCATCTTTTCCTCCCGCCATCTAGCCCCCGCACCTTGTACATGTCGAGTCTGTCAGTCCGCTGTTTCTGCCCACCGCATTGGATGTTAGGGCCGTACCAGTGTCAGGACGGTTTTGTCTAGGCTTGCATTCCTTTTTTCCCTCCCTTTCACGAGTCTGGGTGCTGTTTTAAGTGGAGTAGTTGGCGCACGTGGTTACCGCCAGGTGCCGCTAGGTGCTGTCTGTGGCGGCTCACGCACGTGAAGCGCTGTTTGGGGGAGCAATTGTCCACCATGCAGCATGTAGGGATGTGTTGAGCTGATTCATATGTATCGCCCAAGCCTTGTATTTTCTTCAGTTTTATGTATTCTTCAGTTGTTGGCCACAAGTCGGTCGGGCATTGCCCCTTTTTCTGCCGTTGTCTTCCTCTTACACAGGTAGGGGTCCCGACAACTAGCCGTACGTGTACTTTCAAGTTCCAAGAACCGATTGGCTCCAACCGACTGGCTCATATCTCAGCGGCAGTCAGCGGCAACCGAATGAAGTAGCCTAACCGCAAATGAACACCAAGGCGCTGCGGACGCGTCTAGTCTAGTCCACTTAGGATTATAACTACGCTTTCTAGCTTGTCAGTGTGATGCATGTAATGTGCCCAGATAGATCGAGGTTTGAGCCAGGATCCCGAATTCCGAAAACAGGTAAAAGTACCCCAACCCTCCCAGCACCCCTGGCACCACCGAAGACAGATAGGGACCGCATCCACATGAACCACATCATCCTCGTTCTCCTGCGTCACAGCGGCAGCCAGGCCAGCCGCACGCCGCTAATCCATCCGCGACTGCCGCCGTATCCCTTCTTGGGCTGGGGGTTGTTGGGGTCGGCTTGCTTGAGCCAGCACTGGCGGAAGCGGTACCGCTCGCCGTCGCAACCCGTTGGATCAGCACACCAGGTCCATATGGTGCAGCCCTGCCAAATGTACATGCAGACGATACAGACAGACAGACAGACAGACAGACAGACAGACAGACAGACAGACAGACAGACAGACAGACAGACGTGCATGCATGGATGCATGGGGCACGCGATGGCTACAAAAGACCTCCAGGGCTGTTACACATCTGCAAGGTCCATGATTACCTAATTAACAAAATGCCGCTTACACATGCTTACACACACATCAGGTACTGGTATACAAAAGGGGGAAATGTCAATTCACGATCAGCGTCCGTTATGTAGTAGTAGGTATTATAGCGAGCCGCAAATCCCGATTGAATGTACCCCAGTAGGGTGGTAGCCCCATACATGGAGCCACAGCGGACCGTGCTCTGCACTGCACTGCACCGGGAAACCTTCAGAGGGAAAACGCACACCTTTACGTTATGCATCAAAGGTGGTTGATTGCACCCTTTGTTTGGATCCTTCATCCAGCCTCAATAGTGCCTCCGATGCTAGCTATGCACACGCCTACCACGCTATGCACACCCTCAATTATTGTCTGGCACAGCAACACGGGGCAACAGCGACACGCAGCAGTTCAGCCATGCCAGGACGAAGCGAGGTGGCTAAGATAAGCACGGAGGCAAACATCAAGAGCAACGGAACCGGGCACAGCAGGGCACCCTGTACTGTGTGCTCCTGCTTGCCGGATTCCGTACCCACAGAACGCACGGTGATGCCCGTGTTGAATTCGTACAACAGATACCTGCCCGGCACTGACCTTCCTTTTCGTGAACTCACGCTGGACGGATAAGGCACCACACGTACCTGGGCGCTGGCGCACTGGGAGCAGCAATCCTCCGCTGAGTCCGCGCTGTTATTGTCACCCGACACCAGCACCTGACGTACAAGCACGTGTGACGTACAAGCACGTGTGACGTACAAGCACATCATCTTAGACAACGTGCAACAGGAGTATAGCAGCCTCCCATACACGCGTACATGCACGGCCGGATATTACTTAGGGTTTACAACGTATCACCAATCAACTGAGGCAGGTAACACATTCATGCGTTCAAAGCACGCAAACGAACCTTTTCATTAACTGAAAAAAACGCACACGACTAATTTTTCCCCAGGTTCGCACACAAGCGCATGAAGGATATGTGTTGTGTTGCCATTCGGGAGCCGGTTTTGCGCGGCTTAGCTGCTCGTCCCTACAGTGTAGGGCGATGAAATTTACACATCGACAATCCTCAACGAAGTCCCATGTAGCTGCATTCACACGAAGATGAATACGAAATATCCCCCGGGTACCCTGGCGTACCCTGGCGCTGTTCCTCTAAAGCACCCTTTACCGGCCTCCTTAGTACCTTATCCTCCTGCAGATCGGTATCCAGCAGCACGGTGCAAGGTTGCATGGTCGGGCAGCCGCGGAGACCGCTGTCCGTCCCATCTTTGCAGCTGCTGCTGTCCACGGGACAGGACAGACCCCATCCCTCGTTCTGCGCACAAACACCCTGCGGCGCGTGATGTGATGTGATGTGATGTGATGTGATGTGATGTGATGTATGAGAAAAACCACAGGCAGGTACCCGCAAAGCATGTTCGGTGGAAAGGACATAGGGCCGGGTTGTACACGCAGACCGTGAGTGAATTGAAAGACGGATTCGGTCAGTAAGGCAGTCCACGGCGGTAATAAGCAAGGCAAGCGCACCAGGCACCTGAGACTAGCCGTAACTTCGTAATCTCTTATGAAATGCAAATGACAATACAAATTTGATAGATCTCTACTAAGAAACAAAAAAAAGCTTCGGTCAGCTACCTCAGCGTGTACATAACGACGGTGTGTTTGCCGTAGTGCACGACCGCCACTACATAGACCAACTTCACAAGCTGGGTGGACGAGGGTGGGTGCCCGCTTTCCGCCGGAAAATGTAAGCAGCTAATTATCATTTCCGTACTAGGTCTACGGAAGATAACGATTAATGCTGCAGATGGCACCCCGGACATTATTAAGGTGCTTTGCTGTTCCCCGAGCGCAAGTAAGTAATAATCTATTAAGTTTGAACGAGCTCACCTTGAAACGAAAGCCACTGGCTGTGTAGTCCGCTTGACAGGTGCAGGAATATGCCTGTTCGGGCGATGGTGCGGCATCATTAACGCCCGGCGCGGTGGTGCCGCTCATCCAGCCAGTTGCCTGATCAGGCGAGTTCTTGGAGCGGGGGAACTGGCCCACTTTGGGCACATTGTCGGACTTCAACCAGCATTGCTGAAACCTGGGAAGCAATCAAACATCCAGAACATCAACACGGCAGTTCTCCATGTAAGCAGACAGTCAGCTCTGGCTCTCCAGTGCGGTGCATTGGTAGTCATGAGCTGAGCGGGGTTGACATCCTCTCTTTAGTGGGCCTGCTGTGTCCTAATATTTTTTTTTGTTGTTGTTGTTACATGGTCGTGGGTGCGTTCCCCGTACCTGCAAACCACCCTAGTACGAGCCGAGGGCTCAAGGGCTGCCAAATCGCCTATAAGCACCATCCTACCTCGCACTTCCAGCGAAACAAGTGATGAGGTATACTAACGACCAATGTGTCCTAATATGTATGTCGGTTGCGGTCGTTTTAATTACACCTGATACGAGTGTCCGTGTACAGTGTCCGTGGTGCTTCTGGTGGTGCTTCGACGTGCCTTTATCTGCTGCCTCCCTTTTTGCCTCCACGCCGCTCCTTGCTATACTGCCTTTCGCTGGCCTCGCTTCCATCTTTACATTTTTAATTTATTTTACTTCTAAAATTTATTACTTAAAAACCTAATTAATTAATTAATTAATTAGGTTATTTCCATCTGGAGCCCCGTGTTGCGTTATCCGATGTGCGCGTGTTCAGTTTGACGCTGTGCATCATGTACACCCGTTATCGCTCTCCTCAAAGGGGGGAGAGCCACACAATGGTTTATCCGCACACACACGTGAACCCACTTGCTTGGGTCTCGGGTGTAGGAGCCAGCCTGTGCACAGCCACTCACGGCGCCACACCACACCCACACATTGCAACCGGTGGTGTTGAGGCAGCTGTCACGGCATGCAGTGCCGGTTGGCTGGTAGTTGCGTGATACGTCTGCGTCCAGTACGATGGCGCCCTCCGCGTCACGATTAGCAACCGCCACAACGGAAGCGGGCGGTGCGGCGGCATGGAGCCGGACTGAGGGTGCGGGGAAGGTGTGGCCCGGCAGGGGCCAGGTCAGGAGGGGTTGTGGATTGGGAGTGGGAATGTGAGGAATGTGAGGCGGTGGCAATGGCAAGGAGAGAGACGCTCAGAGGGAGCTGACTCCAGATATAGACGGCCGAAGGCGCCAAGGCGCCAAAGGTTTATACGAACACAGCGAAAAGGGGACGGGACAGTAGCACATAGAGGGCGGGGACGGCAGCGGCACTGAAGAGAAGAAGGAGGAGCTATCATACTGAAGCAGTGCGCTTCTGTGAGCACGCGCTTCGCGTGCGGCACGTCGTCGGCCTAGCAACTTGAGCTTCGAAGCACCTAGCCAGCGTTGTCCTTAAGCATTCCCGTTCATGTCCCGTACAAGTGATATTCGGGGAAGCAGTAGGGCTCAAATGCTAGCGCCAAGCCTTTGAGATGTCGCGGATCTTTGTGGTGCCTGGTGGTTTCGGTGCATCGACTTACCGGGCAGTGTGCACATCAGAAGCAAGAGCGCTCCAAAAGCAGGTGCGCTCCGGGACATAGCTGCGAGACGCGCCGTGATGCCCACCGGCGGCGACAAGGGTAGCAGGCTGGAAGGTGGGGAGAAGCGAAGGCTTGGAGTGCCACCTGGATGTTAACGGGTGACAACGGTATTGAATGTGGTCTAACGAAGCACACACGTTCCCAGATACGAAAACGCCACCTAGAGGTGTGGAAAAGATACGTCGTATGTCAAGCTTAAGCGTAAGGCTCTGAAGCAAACTTCTCGAGTCGCTGGGGGGGGGTCTAATTGAAAAAGGAGCAGCAGGAGCCGAGGATCACCTGCCGTACAGCATCCAATGCCATCCAAAGCTCCATCGGGGCTTCGCTTCATCGATCTCTTTTTCCCAAAGCCCCACGGCAGTACCACTACCACTACCACCAGCTACCACGGGCAATGAAGACATTCGCATTCGCACCGCACCGGCGGCACTCCCACTTCAAAAGTTACAAACTTAATTTTCGTGTACCCCTGAAAAGCAGTTCGCGGTCGCGGTTTAGGGATGTAAACAGCAACAGAACAATTATGTTAGTTGTTAAACCGCTTCCTCCAGAAGAGGTCCTCTCTCCTTGCTTTGGGACGGGGCCCTAGTTGAGGCGCCGCCCCACCGAAACATAACCCACCCACCCCCCTATCTGTGTAAGCAAGGGCAGCCAGACGACGCAGGAAGCCAACGAACCCGAGTAGAAGGTAACAACCGCTCGGTATGCTGCTGGCTGACCGAGACCCGACCGAAACCGGCTGCTTCGCCCCGCATCCGGTCGACGGGACGGACAAAACCGATGACGACGGACGGACCGACTGACGGACGAACAGCAGACGGACTCTCGGACTCTTTAAACGGCAGATCTTTTATCTGTGCCGTCAACCCAGAGGTGACTGTACACCACGACAACATGGGCCATGTGATGCGTTGTTGCCAAATACGCGCCCGGTTCGCCGCTAGAGGCCCCACCAGCAATGTCCAGACTGCAATTTAACTCGAAGTGAGAAAGAGTTTTACGGTGCGCCATTCGCGGTATGAACAAACCGCTGCTCTGCCATCTAGCCTCTTCTACCTCTGGGAGGGAAGGCGCCGTTGCTGCTACTGGTGTATGTTGCCAAGCGTTGATCATCGTCGTTATCATCGCCGTCATCATCGTCGTCAACATCATCGCTGCCCAGAGCGGGCATCCAAAACCATCTACTCAACTAACGAACACACACATTCACTTTCTTAGACGGATGTCGCACTTGACTTGGCTTGTATCGACATGAAGCCGGCCATCTTACGAGGCACACGAGTGCCCAAACTCGCGCACACGCTGCTGGCTCGGTTCATGGCACAGGGGCGGGGGGGAAAGACGCATGACGGTCATCAGGCTGGTCATTAGAATTTTAAAAGGTCGGGCAGGGATGCGGTGCAATCACCGGTTGTGACCGGGGGCCTTTCGCGAAGGACTCACAGATAGTCCTGGACTGCTTGCGCAGTAAATCGTGGCTGTTAGGAACGGAAGCAATGCACAGGATCCAGCACTCCGCGAGACACATATACATACACACACACACACGCGCGCGCGCGCACATATAAACGCACATATGAACTGCACAGAAGCGAAATGAAGACACCAAACTACATCATCTTCCATGTGGACGTGCATCCCACCACACGTACAGCACCACGCTACCGGCAGTCCCTTTCATTATTCCAAAGGTATGCAGCTTATCTGTTTCGGAGATACTCGTGCTGCAAGGTGCAAAACGTTCCGCCAGTGTCGCCAGCTACCCCGACCGTACCGCATATACATCCGTGCACTTTTTTTGAATCCTTGGCCCTCTGGCGAGCATCAAGTCATGCTGGAACGGTTTATGGCACCTCCTCCCTGGCAACGAGAAACACACTCAGAGAACCGACCGATTGCCTAGATTGCCTGTCCACCTCTGAATGCTGCTTGCACCTGCACCTGTCCCAACCACTACATGACAGATAGCGTACTAATACAGGAGGCGACTCTATAGGGGTGACTGACTCCTTAGGGCCCCCAATGGAGGCCTCCTAACAGACACCTTGGGTTTCCCAGACCGGTAAGAGACCGGTAACCCGCTGACTCCTTTGCGTGTCCGCAGCCGGAAGTTACCAGTGCACCTAGTCTAGTGCGCTACTAAGGGACGAAAAGAAAAGGGACACAGAACGAGGTATATATAGCATTAGTGCTCTCCTCCTCCCCGCCTCCTTATCTCAATAATCTGATGCAAAATGAGAGCCGTATGGTTTTATCTTTTTTTATGGGTTCCGGGAGCCGCGTGCTGAGTGCCCCATTATTCTGCGACCGCTCTGCGCTCTCTCCTTGCGGTGCGACACACGATCGTATTCCCCACCCCCCTGCAACGAGCCGCCTACACACATACATACCTACATACACACCCACAGGCAGAACCATCCAAGTCTTTCTTCCTGTGGGCCCCCTCGTGTCCCCTACCGCCTCGTCGGGCCCTTTCGCTTTCCAAAACCCCCCTCAGCTCGCACCCATTCCTTTACCGACTCCACCGCTTCCGCCAGTCTTAACTGCCGCGCCGCCGCCGCCGCCGCCGCCGTCCCCCCTCTCGCCCTCTTCCTCAGTTCCGCTGATCCCGGTCCCAAGAAACAGATCTAGAAGCTCAGCAGGTTCTATGTCCCGTGGCCCACCACTCAGATGTGCCGCCTTCGTCACCCCCGCCATTCCCGCTGCAGCCTGCTCGTCCACATCCTCGTCAGCGCGACCGCGCGCCACATCCCATCCAGCACGCGCACGCTGGAACGCCGCTGCAACACGCGCCAAATCCTCCGCCGACAATCCACCAGCGATGCCGCCGCCGCCGCCGCCGTCACCACCACCGTCATCCTCATCGTCCAGCACCTCATCATCGGCGTCACGGTCGTCATCACGCAAGGCCCAGCCGCCAACGCCGCTGCCGCCTGCCGCGGCGGCAGACTGCAGACCCGATAAGAACTGCGTACTAAGCCGCTTCTCCGCCTCCTCCTCTTCTTCCTGCTCCTGCCGTTGCAGATCCTCCTCCTCCTCCTCGTCCTCCTGCTGTAGCTGCTGTTCTTGCTGTAGCTGTAGCTGTTGTTGCTGCTGGGCAATGGCGCTGGTCCATCCATGGAAGGACAGCGGATGAAGCGAGCTCCAAAAATGCGAGTGTATCTACAACAACAACAACAACAACAACAAGAACAACAACAGCAGCAGTGCCCGCGTTGTGTTTGTCTGTGCAACCGCGTCTCGGCTTTTGTGGTGTGTCGTCTCAGGTCCGTGGTCCTCCGTGTATCCCTTGCCTTGCTGGCTGCGTGGGGTCCTTGACTAGGAGAGTCTGTTGTGGGGCCGTACCTGACGTGGGTAGGTCTTCCCTTGCCTCGGGTTTTGAGTGTGTAGTGGAGCCCCCTGAGTAGAGCCCCTGCCCCAGGTGGTGTTTTCTGTTTGTTCTTGTTTTGGTGGTCAAGAGGGAAGAGAGAGCGCGAATAGGCTGGCCTGGCGAAGCGGATAGCCTGTTTAGGGTTCCCGGAGGTTGCGTGCCGTCTCTCGCACGGCTCTCGCTTAGTTCGGCTCGCAGTCTTCTGCGCCGCTGTGTTGCCTCCCAGCCAGGGGCTGGGAAAGCGCCGCGGCTGGCGTGAGTGAGGGAGTGAGGCGCGCGCGGAGGAACAGACGGACGTAGAGCCACGCGCCCCCCTCCTGCGCTGTGTTTCGGCCCCCGGTCAGGGCCCCCGGTGCTCTCGGTCCTTTCTCGGGACGAGCCGCCAACAGTGTAACACCCCATCAACATCAACATCAACAGCAATAACAGGATCATGATCCCCAGTAACAATACAAAGGACAACAGCAACAGCTAGGGGAGGGCTCCACGAGGTACCCCCCAGTACAACTGCAACTGGTGCTGTGCCTTGGTCGTTATGTCCCCGGTAAGTGGCCGGTTTTACGCGGTTTAGCTTTCGCATGCATACATACATACATACATACAGTATTGGGGCTACGAGGCTTATGCACCAATATCCCTTGGGGTGACCCACCGTATCCACGGCCTTCACGCAGCAACGGGACCGCAGTCCGGGGCCTAGGGTTCAACCCCCCCAGAACACACAGTACCGCACAGCAACGGTGCATCCTTCTTCATGCATTCTTCATTCCCAAAGCACCACCGAACACATCCTCACTTTCCAAAGGGCTGGCTAACCCTCTCAAACAAATATTTCCGACACATACACACACACATACACACACACACAGTCAAAGCGCCCCCCCAGGGCACATGAACTCATGGTCCCTACAAACACACACACACACACTGCCCGCCCTTCCCCCATCCTTCACCCCACCCACCCACCCACCCACCTGCATGGCATTCATGATGGCCACCCAGCCCTCCCGGGTTGTGCCCCACGGCCCCGGCAGTGGCGGCGGCGCCTCCCCCAGCAGCACCCGCACGCACCCCTCCACCGCCTCCGAGGTGGCGGCCAGGTTGTAACCCCCCTCCAGCAGCAGACCCAGGGCCCCGCGAGGGCTCACCCCGGACAGCAAGTGGGTCAGGTGGGCGAACACAGCGGGAGTGCAGCTGCAGCCGCCTGGGGGGGGGGGACGGGGGAGGGAAGAGGGGGCGAGGACATGGACCGGAGATTGAACGGGAACTGGGGAGTGGGGAGGTGGGGAGGTGGGGCTCACTTCGCAGCGGAAGTTACACCGGTGGGGAAGGAGGGTTAGGAAGATTAGGAGGGTTAGGAGGACAAGGGAGGGAGGGATTTCCTAGAACCTAAAACCCTAAATATCCCTAAAACCCGATCTACATGTGCAAGAAACGAGAATGGAGTGCCGTTGTCCAAAACGAAGGGAGGAAGGCCACTGTCCGGAGCTGTCCAAAGCTAGCCCGGCAGGAGAGGACGGGATGGCGGGAGGGGGATTGAGTCTCGCCCGGACAGGTGAACCGGCAACACAACCCAGAAACCAACCAAAGACACAGCTGGGGCGCCACCTACCAATCGGGTCACCCTTGAGCGCTCCGAAACCCGCCGCCACCAGCACCAGCTGCGGCCTGAACTGGTAGGCCACCGGCAGCACGACATGTAGTACGGCGGACAGCAAATCGCCGTCCACCAGACCGCCGGCACCCTGGCTGCCGCGACCAAACGCCACATTGAGGGTGGTGCCCTCGGCTGCGCCCTCGCCCACGTCCTCAACGGCTCCGGAACCCGGGTAGGTCTCGCTGCCCGCGTGTCGTGTGGCGATGGGACGTGAGAAGGCAACAGAGACACAAGGACAGAGAAGCTGACGGAGGCATCATGCTTAAAGGACACATGTGAATGAACGGGATCCGCACCGCAGGACATCGGATCCAATGAGATCCAACGGGCTGACATCCCATGCAGCACGGAGGGAAGGGGCGCGGGGAAAGGGGAGGAGAGGGAGTCCATCGCAGCGATGGATGCGTCCATGTCAGTGTCAAAGTAAGAGGCTCGCGGGTACGCAGCGTTGGTTCTCTCGCCCAGAGGCCCTATCAGAGCGTACCTGTCGTATCGGTGCATGGACACTACCATGACCCGTGGGTCACTTGCAAAGATCTCCTCTGTGCCTCGCCCGTGGTGCACGTCCCAGTCCACAATCATGACTCGCTGCAAGCCGGCGGACAGAGCCGCGGCGGCTGCCACAGCCACATTATTCAGGTAGCAGCCCCCTCGCGCCACGTCATAACCGGCCTGTCCGCAGCAGGGAGCAGGTGCGCAGGGAGCAGGTGCGCGGGGGTAGGTTAGGGGAGCGACAAGTACAGAACATGGAGTGGAAATACCAAACTTTGCGGCAGCCAGTCGCGTTGAGCGCCGCAGTAGAGGCCACTGCACCTAGTAGACATGACGCAACAACGTCTTTTGAAAAGACGAAAACAGAAAAAGACTTGCAGCAACCTCATAAAAATGCGTCTAAAGTCAATTTTAGCTAGATGCGTCTTAAAATCAAGTCTTCAACATCTGTAAACCGTACGACACCGTACGGAAGCGTTTTCACGAACCTGTGCTCCAGGGGGCCTCATGACCGCCATGGCGGCTCGCACCTCCCCCCTGGCCAGTGCCGATCCGATGTCTGCAGCAGCACCAGCCGCCAGCAGGGCCGCGGTGCACGTGTGCGCGTTGTACAGCGTGTCAGCACACAGCGACCGGCACTGCTGCTGCTGCTGCTGCTGAGAGTGCTGTGGGTGCTGTGGGTGTGAGAGCGCGGCCGACGGCGACGACGCCGAGAGTGCGGCGGAGGAAGAGATGCTGCTGCTGTTGCTGCTGTTGCCGCCACCGCAGCTGCAACTATTGCTGTCGGTAGCCGGCCCAAGCGTTCCGATGTTGTTGCTACTGCTACTGCTGTTGCTGCTGTTGCTGGTCCCATTAAAACTACCACTATTGTTGTAGTTGTCCTGGTAGTGGTGGTTTTGCTGGGGATGGAGATGGTTGTCGCTAGCAGCAGCAGCAGCAGTAGCACCACCACCACCACTAAGCGGCGGTGGTGGTGGTGGTGGTGGTGGGGCCCCCATACCCCTCACAGCCGCCACCAGTTCAGGGCTGTGAACGGACAGCAGCTCAGGGTCGGTGGCGGGTCGGCAGGACAGCAGGCGACAGCGCTGTAGCAGGCCGCGGGAGTGCAGGTGGGACATGATGGCTCGGAGCCGCTCAGGCCTGTGACGGGCAGAGGCGGCGCGCGGGGGCGGGGGCCGGGGGGAGGAAGAGCGATGAGGGGCCCCTTGACACGATGTGTTTTGACTCAAGGGGGGTTTCGCCGGGGCCAGAGGTCGGGGCGGTGGGACGGCCGGGGCAGGGAGGCGGCAGGGGGGCGGAGGTATAAGGGCGGCGTACGGGTGAAGGGGGGGTTGTACAAAGGGGATGCCCTGAGGACGCAGAGCGTGTAGTGCCTTAATGAAGACGTTTGTGAATAACACATATACGCACAGAGCTTTTACCTCCCCGGATACGGCGGTAAAGAGGAGCGGTGGAGCAATGTCCTTTCGTCCGCCGCCAGCAGCACCTCTCCGCCGCCGCCGCTGGCGACACCGCTGGCGACACGGCGGGCCTCAGAACTCAGGTCCCGGGAAGAAGGACGAGGAGAATCAGCGGCAGTTTTTGATTCCGCTGCTGTGGCCGCCTGATCTTGCTGCTGCCCTTGCTGTTGCTCCTGTTGTTGCCGCAGCTGGGCTGCGTAGGCCTCCACCCATGCCGTGGGGTGCCCCAGGACTTCCGCATCCCGGTGCGAGTCGTGTCCGCAGCCGGTGCATGCGCGGCTGGGGTCCCCAGAGGGTAGCAGCGGTCTGCAGCAGTTGACGCAGAAGCGCAGCGGGCGATATGCTACGCCCGTAGAGCTGCCCCCTTGCGATAATGGTGGTGGTGATGATAATGATGATGATGCCGCCTGCCGGGAAATTGGGCACGTCGTATGGATGTTGTAAACGGCAGCTGAGAGGACCGAGGCCCAATAGGGGCTTGACGGCTGGGGACCAACGCGGGCTTGACAGCTGGGGGAAGAAAAATGCAGCGATGGCCGGGAACAGGAGGGTAAAGCTGGGTTATGGTTGAATCCATAATGCGCTTTAACAATACCAGCCCGGTGGCAGGTTTGAGTCCTCTAGTGCTTTTCGAACCTGGCATGCGTCAGATAAAAGCCACGTGCGCAAAAAGGTGACGACCCACATTGTTAGCAACGCCAGCATATGGCATTATATTATTTACGGTATTGCTGGAAGCAGCAATTCCAGTCAGAACTTCGCTGAGGAGCTCGAGGGCCGAGGTGGGCAACGGTGGCGGGATGAATTCCTCGTCATCCGCATCGTCACGCTGATCTTCGTCATTAATATCTTCAACGCTTAGGTCACCAGATGCATTCACCCCAGCGGCTGCGCATGGGCGGAGCAGCCTCGACGGTCTGTCCCGTGCAGTACTCGTAGAAAGCGGCGACACGGCATACAGCGAAAAGCGAGCGGCGTTAGGTCTGCTGAAACGCGTGAAGGCGCAGCATGTGTTGGATAGCGTCGCATGGGCCCCTGCTGGCCGTGTCTGGAAATTTGGATACGCAAACATTTTGGCACACAAATCAAGGAGGCAATCCTGAAGCAGTAAACATCATGAATTGTCCTTCGTGTCCTGAAAGCGGATGGAATATTGTTGGCGCGCAACCCGAGAACAGGATCGACTTCACCGCTGTATCGGACGAGCAATTGGGACGAGCATGGAAACATTTTGTCAGACTTTTGAACAGAGACTTCTTTATCCAACTTCTTACAATTTCCTGCAGATGCAACATGCTGGCAGGCATTAGGGCGGTGCGTGGGCACCTACACCTCGCACGACATATCGTGACGTCTGGAGGTCTTTGTAACGCAGCTGCGACGGTGAACTTTGACAACGATAACCAAGATGCTCTGGTAGATAGCCTCGTGCGACAAGGCCTAGTCCAAAGCCCGAGGGTGGAGGCAGTGCTGCGCGCCTTGGACAGGCGCGATTTCACCTTCACCCACATGGGAATCCCGGCCCACGTCAGCTACAGGGTACGATGCTATCGTGTTTCTTGAGACATGCTAAGCCCGCTGCTATGCAAAGCTGGACCTCCATTTTTGGACTACCGTACGAAAGTACAGCCAAACGTACGGCCATCGGCCAACCAAACAATATGGACAGTCGTCATCCATCCACACCTGCAGCAGCACAGGTTCCAACTTATTGCTCACGATACGCATATTGTTAAAGCCTTTCCGTACCTGTCTTCCGTCTTCTCCCTCTTCCTCCTTCACCCCTACGCACACACACACACACACACACACTCACACACACGACCCGTGTCGGTTATCAAAACAATTAATTGCCTTGTTCAATTGTTTTGTAGCAGAAAGTGTAATCCCCTTTTAACCCGGGGCAAATACACACACCTATACACACGTGAACACACGGACACGTGTACCCATACACACAGAGACGAGACCCGGCCGGTCCTCGCCGTACACCGCTCCCCGAAGCCAATTAGCCGCGGTCGCAGCCGCCACCGCCACTGCTGCTGGCGCTGCGGATCCGCTCATATACTACACCAAAAGGCCGCCCCCCCCCCCGGTGTCACAGACACTCAATTCCCCCCTCCTCCAACATCCTCAAATCGCACCACCACGTACGACAACCATCAGCACCCGCCCCCTCTGTTCTCTCACCTTTCCCATCAACTCCAGGCACATCATTAACGACGTCATTAACCTGTCCTGCCTGCTAACCGCATGTCTACCGCTCCAGGATCTCCCCCCGCTCTTCCCCCCCTTTCGTTCAGCAGTAAAACCCTGAGCTCCTTGCGGCCACACGAGCCCCTCGCGCCCTGAAATCGCCCTGAACCCAACCCAACCCTCCCCGTCTTCATATGTCCTCCCCTCCCCCCCATTCCCCCTCTCCCCCCCATTCCTCCGGCCCCCCCTTTCCCCCCCTTCCCCCCCTTCCCCTCCTTTGGCAGCAGCTTCACTCGTTCGTGGTTCGTCTTTCCCTCCCCCTGTCCCCTCGCGGTCCCTCAGGACAGCCAAGTGCCCATCGGCCAGGGTCAAACCATCTCCGCACCCTCCTTCCATGCCATCTGCCTGGAGCTGCTGGCGCCGTACACCGCACCCGGGGCCGCCGCACTGGACATAGGCGCGGGTACGCTTGTTAGCTTGGCTTGGTGGCGGCAAGCCGAACTTGGGCTGACTGGACGGTGGTGAGGATGCCGAGTGAGGGTGAGGGTTAGTCGGGGTGTCGGGGCCGCCGTGGGGGGCACCCAGGGTTAGCTGGGGCCGCGGGAGATG